TCTGCTACTAGAGTATTATCTAGTCGGGATCCTGCCTCTATTACACCCTTGTGCCCTTCCTCAGGATTGCGGAGTCCTGGCCAGTGAACTCCACAGGGAAGAAACACGGAGGCGGCGAAAGCTAGGATATCCGTGGGTCGGTAACGGAGAGTGCTGCTCTCCGGTGAGATCAGGTCGCCGGTAGTAAGACACAGGACTCAAGGCACGGCTTAGTCTGTGTTTACTGCTTTATTGTATCTCTGCTCCTTGCTGTCCAGTTCTCTGCTGATCCAGCTTTCTGGGACCCAGTCTCTCACCTGATCTCCCAGTCTCTGGCCTGATCTCCGGGTCCCTGGCCTGATCTCCGACTATTAAGAGAAGACTAGCATATTTATATACCATGGGGGTAGTGGTAAAAGCTTTTAGATACTTTGTGAGATATTCTATTTACATGTGGAAGTGGGTTTCTGCTAGACTATTGTCTACCTGTAAAAATCACACACAGGAAGGCATGGTATGCATAGAGCCAAAGGCCATGTTTATGTCAAGGCATCTGTGGCGGCCACTTCAAAGGGAGAGACAGGAAAGATGCCAGAAAGCACCTTGCTATGAAAAGGAGCCCGCAGCACATTCCCCGAGCTGCATGAGCTGTCCGGTGTGAAGGGGCTTCGACTTTTGCATAACAGAGGTCTCCCAACAGGGCGTATGAGCCTTCCAGGGCTAGCACTGAGGCCCAGTCCCAGGCACCCAGCAGTCATGTGGGCTCTTTCCACTAAAATTCAAACTTTCTAAAAGCTTAAGTTAAAGCAGAACCAATAATTTTCTCTGCCTTGTTTCAGAGGAAAAGAAATGCAGTATAATTACTTACATGTGACCTCGAGTATAGTGTGAAATAGTAATGTTTATGAAGTCTTGTTAAGAACATGCATGCAGGGCCTGGAGTTAAGAGCAGTTAAGAGCACTGACTGTTCTTGCAGAGGACCCAGGTTCAAATACCATCACCCACATGGCGGCTAACAACCGTCTATAACTCCAGTTCCAGGGGATTCAGTGCCCTTGTCTGTCTTCCACAGGAGCTGCATGACATGGATGCACTTTCATACACGTAGGCATAATACTCATACACATAAAATAAAAATAAATTTTTTAAAGAAGAACATGTATACATGCATGGGGGGGCACTAAATTCACTAGCAAAATATTACAACTGCAGGAAAAGCTCATAGGTAGAAATCAAAATACTAGCAAAAATAAAATAACCATGTGTCATTTTAAAGATTTTTTTCACTCTCATGCACATTCCCATACAGAGATACACACATGTATTTAAAATAAAATTTAAATTTAAAAAAAGTAGGAGGGCCAGATGTGGTGGCATACACCTTTAGTCCCAGCACTTAGGAGGCAGAGGCAGAGGCAGGCGGATCTCTGTGAGTTCAAGGTCAGCCTGATCTACATAGCAAGTTCCAGGCCAGCTGGGGCTATAGGGAGACCCCCGTCTCAAAAACCAAAAAAAAAAATTAAATAAATAAACGAAATTTTAGAAGGGCCTTGAGAGACAACTCAGTAGTTAAGCATACTAGGTATTCTTACAGAGGACTCAAGTGCAGTTCCCAGGTAACTCACTACCTCCTATAACTCTAGTTCCAAGGACTCTAGTGCCTATGACTTCCTAGGGCACCTGCACTCATTAGCACATACTTCCACACAGACACATACTCATACATGTAATTTAAAATGTAATAAAAGTAAATTCAGTTTTTTTGTTGTTGTTTTGGTTTTTTGTTGTATTTTTTGTTGTTGTTTGTCTTTTTAAGACAGGGTCTCCCTGAAGCTCCAGCTGGCCTGGAACTCACAGGATCTACCTGCCTCTGCCTCCCAAGTGCTGGGGCTAAAGGTGTGTGCTACCACACCTAGCCTAATTTTTTTTTTTTTTTAAATAGAGTCTCACTTTGCTGCCTTGGCTGTCCTGGAACTCACTACGTAGATCAGGCTGACCTCAAACTTACAGAAATCTCCCTGCCTCTGCCTCCTGAGACCTGGGATCAAAGGCATGTACCACCACAGCCAGCATAAAAATACATTTTTAAAAAAGATTATTTTATGTGTATGAGTGTTTTGCCTCCATGTATGTATGTGCACCACGTGTGTGCCTGGTGCTTACAGAGGCCCATCAGTTGTGAGCCACCATGTGGGTGCTGGGAACTGAATCGGGTCCTACATAAGAGTAACAAATGATCTTAACTACTGAACCATCTCTTCAGCTCCAAAATAAATCTTTTAAAAAATAAAATAAAATCTGACTTTTACAGAATTTACTCAACAGCATGTCAATGTTGACTTTGTCAGAAGATGCTCATTTTGAAATTCTCTCTCTTTTTGTGGTGCTTACTTGTGTTCAGTATGTTTGATTTTATTTCTTTCCCTTTAGTTTGTCCAGAAAAAGAGATTGGTATGCAGAAGAAATCCATACAGGATCTTGGAGTATCTGCAGCTCAGCCTGGAAGAGGTGCGTGTCCCGTGTATCAGTTCAGCTCTTGGTGAGCTCAGCCCTGCGGGCTATCCCTAAACCTACCTGCCAGAGCAGCTCTGTATGGAGGAGTTGCTGACTTTTACAGCTGAGTGTTAGAATCACCTTCCTAAATGGCACTCCTCAGCCTGAATACTGATAATAATCAGTTCTGAGACATGTGCCTGGGCTGAAGCTCAGTGAGAGCACTTGAGTGGCATATGAGAGCCCTGGGTTCAGACTCCCAGCAAGGAAAAAAAGGGTGTTTGAACATGTGAGGGTTTTGTATGAACCCTTTCCACCTCCCAGGTCCTCCTTCTCTCTGCCCTCTTTTCTCCCTCCTATTTTTTTTAAAGAATTTTTTTCCATGTACATCTTTATTGGATGTCTGTGCATTTCATACAATACATCTTAATCATATTTAAGACCCTCTTCTATCTGCACCTCCCTATAGCCTTCCCACAGGGTTTCATGCATTCTGTTATATATGTAAAGGCCTTTCAAGTCAAGTTTGTATATCCACAGTGTGAGTTCATCCACTGGAGCCTGGTGAGCCAATCTAGCATCACTTCCTTAAGACTCTAGTGGGTGTGGTGGCTTACACCTTTAATCCCAGCACTTGGGAGGCAGAAGCAGGCAGATCTCTGTGAGTTAAAGGCCAGGTCACCTAGGACTATAGGGGAGCTATAGGGGAAACCCTGTCTCAAAAAGACAGAAAAAAAGAATATCAGCTCTCCCTCACTCAGCAGTGATCAGTTGCCAGTAGTTCCTCAGCTATGGTTGGGGCCGCCTGCCCATTTCCCCAGCTGTATATGTTTTTTGTCTAATTGAGTTTGCATGGGTCTTGTGCATGCTGTCACCATTGCTGTAAGTCCATATGAGCAAGTTCCCAGAAGCTTGGTGAACTCTGTTTTCTTATGGTCATGCACCACCCCTGGGTCTTACAATCTTTCTGTCCTCTCCTCCGAAATGATCCCTGAGCCCTGGGTAGGTGACATTTAATATGAGTCCTATCTAGAGACACACACTCTGCAGTCTCTTATACTCTACATTTTGTCCTGTTTTGGCCTTCTGTGTTCATCTCCCTCTGTTGTATGAGAAGCTTCCCTGGTGAGATTTGAGTGATGCATTAATATTCCCTCTACCCCCTATTCCACTATGCTCCATGAGACTTAGGTATAGAGGTTGCATTGTAGATGTGTTGCTTAGGGCTAGGCATTTCAGGGACACTTGTTCTCTATGTGTGAACAGTTGTAGAATTCTATAACAGTCTCCATTTGTTACCAAAAAAATTCTTTAATGAATGATGGTGACTGGTATACTTGTCTGTAAATATAAGGATACATATTTAGCATACACCAAGAAATTATGTTTGTCTAGCCAGGCGTGGTGGCACACACCTTTAGTCCCAGCAATTGGGAGGCAGAGGCAGGTGGAGCTCTGTGAGTTCAGGGCCAACCTGGTCTACATAGTAAGTTCTAGGCCAGCTGGGGCTACAGGGAGACCCTGTCTCAAAAAAAAAAAGGAAAGAAAAAGAAATTATGTTTTGTTGGTACTGGAGAGATGGCTCAATGGTTAAGAGCACTGGCTGCTCTTGCAGAGAACCTGGGTCCGATTTTCTGTTCCCACATGGCAGCCAGCAACCATCCGTAACTGCAGTTGTAGGGGATCCAGTGCCTTTTTCTGGCCTTCACATGCATTGCACGACCTGGGTGCACTTACATGCATGCAGGCAAAACATTCATACATACATATAAAATAAATTTTTAAAAAGAAATTATATTTGTCTAAGGATATGACAAACAGGGTTTTCTCTAGGCTCTATGACCTCTTCAGCTATGTGTGTTTAGCTATGTTTACAGTGCCACATCTGATTTTCCTCTCATTGAGTAAGCTTTAAATCCAATTAGATAGCTGTTGATCCCCCCTAGATAAAAGTGCCACTACTGCACCACTGTAGTTTGTTGTGCCAGTTGTCGTTGTGTTTATTAGGCTTTAAAGCTGGGGTTGGACCATTGATTGATTTTTCTCCCTTAGCAGCTTGCATGGTATCCTCTAGAACCATGAGAGATAATCTTCAGGGAGGAGGCTTCTAGGTCAATTCCAGCTCCTCTGCTCCAAGTGCTATGTTCAAAGTATGTCCTGTCTTCATCAACAGGGTCTTCAAGTTCTGGGAGGTAATCAAGAACTATGGCAATAGCCTGCATTATTTTGGAAGTCTCTTGGACTTCCTTCCATTTTTTTTTTGAGACAGGATCTTGCTACATAGCTCAGACTAACATGAACGCAATATCCTCCTGCTTCAGTCTCCCAAGTGCTAGGATTAGGGTGTGCACCCACGCACTCAACTTAATCTTTCTCATCAAGATTTCAAATTGCCTGAATGTTATATCACTTATTTTCATCAGCTTTTTAAAAGTACATCTATATTAAGATATAATTAATGTACCATATAATTCATCCATTATAGGCTGGGGATATAGCTCATTGGTAGAGTACTTGCCTAGTATTCACAAGGCCCTGGGTCAATCCCCAGCACGGAAAAAAAAGCACAATCCACCCAGTGTGGCAGCACATGCCCATAGTCCCACCTACTTGGGAGGAAAAAGAAGGAGGGTCATCTGAGCCCAGAAATTCAAGGTCATTAGACAATATAGCCAGACTGTTTGAACAAGAGTAAATAAAATTACATATTTTTTCAGTTGCAGAACTCTGGTGTTTAGTCTGCAGGTCTGACTCCAATCACATACTGGCTGCTTTAGCAAGTGGGTGGGGTCCAGGTATTTCCTTCTGCACAGTCACTTAGCTTTCCCCACCCAGTGCACGGGCTGTGTTCTGGTTGACCACAAGCTACATCGTCCTATCCCTCTGATGTGGCATTGCCTTGGTTGAGCCCCTCCCTCCCTTCTTGCTTCTGTCGGTCCTGTGCACAGAATTGTCTTTCTGCCAGGGGAGGTAGTGGGCACCCCTCCTGGGTTTCTTTGGTAGCTCTTGCTGCATCTGGCACAGCTCTTGACCTTCATGTGTAGGTGTCAAGAGGAGCCTGTTGGATTTGTCCATGTCAGTGGTGTTTTCAGAGCTGTGTCCAGAGGAGAGTACTGTGTCTCCCTAGCCCTCAGTTTCCTACATGCTTCCTTCCGCTCAGGGAGGTCAGCGATACAGAGCTCAGCTCTCAGTGTAGGAAGGATATAGGGAACATTACCTCATCTCTTCATTGGTTAACCTGAGACTAGTAGGTCCACTCTGAAATTCAGTAGCCACTAACCACAAGTGACTGCTTTGATTTAAATTAATTAAAATTGAATAAAGTTCAAAATTCTATTATCCAACCTCCCTGGGCATATTGATAGTCTGCTTAATTATGTACTTGGACATGTAGGAACCTTCAGCTGAACTTCCATTCACATCTGGGTTGTTCAAAATCTAGTGGGAAGTGCTGGTGGAAAGAGAGGAAAGGACTGTGGCTTTGCTCTTCCCCTCCATTGATTTTTTTTTTTTTAGAATATTTTTATTATTCCAAAGAGAGGTGATTTTTAACATTTCTCCAGAAATAAAGTAGGTTACATAAAAATATATATACAGAAGTTTAAGGGTGGAAAAGTAGGGATAAGAAATCAAAGTCCCCTTCATTGATTCTTAAAGTTCATTTGGAATCATATGACTAGCCAAGAAATTGTTTTTGTTGTTGCTGCTGCTCCTGCTATTACTGACCAAACCCAGGGCCTCATATGTGCTAGGCAGGAGCTCTACACTGAACTGTACTCCCAGCCCCAAACAAAATTTAAGAGACATGTTCTCATTGTAGTGGGCAGTATTGCTATAGGAGTAGAAAGATTGGGCCGAAAGAATCTACAGCAGACCATTTGTAGATGGGATTTCAGTGTGCACTGAAAATCTGATTTCATATCAGTGAGGAAAGGACAATGGATCTGTAGTGTTGTGGCAAGCTGGTGAGTCATTCCTGTGGAAAGAGAAAGCTGTGATCTTATCTCCTAGTGTGTGCTAAGATAAATTTCAGGCCAGCTAAAGGGGAATATGCCAGGCATGGTGGTGCATGCCTGTAATCTCGGCCCTTAGAAGATGAAGGCAGTAGGATCAGAAGTTCAAAGCCAGACCTAGCTACATAGAAAGTTTGAGGCCAGCCTGGGCTACATGAGACGCTGTCACAAAGACAAAAAACAAAAAAATCAAGACTGATACATACCTTTGAGAGATGAGTAAAGTCCCCTAAGAAACCATAATGCAGATTTCATCACTTAAGAACTTAAATTCATGTCAGGACCAGGGGTGTAGTATCAGTCAGTCATAGAGTGTTCCTGTGGGGGCTCCAGGCCTGGTTCCTTTCCCAGGAGACCACAGCATTGAAGAAAAATGGGGAAACTGAGGTTAAAAATTACTTAAATACAGCTAGACATAGTGGCACACGCCTTTAATCTCAGCACTCAGGAGGCAGTTGTAGAGGCAGGTGGATCTCTGTGAGATCGAGGCCAGGCAGGTCTGGTCTACATAGCAGGCCAGCTGGGGATACAGTGAGACCCTGTCTCAAAAAATAAAACAACAACAAAAAACACCACATACTGTAGATTCAGATTAATTCTCTTAATTTTTTTTTTTTCAGTCTTTTTGAAACAGGGTTTCCCTGTAGCCCCAGCTGGCCTGGAACTCACTATGTAGACCAGGCTGGCCTTGAACTCACAGAGATCCACCTGCCTCTGCCTCCTGAGTGCTGGGATTATAGGCGTGCGCTACCACGCCCAGCAATTCTCTTAATTTTATCTCCATAATTACTTCACTCTGAAATTCTGATCCCTGCTTCAAGTATATTTGCTCTAAATGGCCTTTTTTTTTTTTTAAGAAAAAAACTTATAAAAAGGTTTAGTGTACAACGTAATGGGCTTTGTCATGACATGTTCATACACACGTGTATTTTGTTTCTGTTGGTCATCCTCCACTGCCCTTCCCTGCTCGCATCTTTCTGGACCACATGTATCCCACAACCCTCTCTTCTTCCCCACTCCCTCAAGATCTCTTCTTCTCTTCTCGTGGTCTCCTTTTTACAGTTTCTTTTATGTGTATGCGAGTATTGCGTGATTATGTGTAAGTGCACCCCTGTTGTGCAAAGCCCTCAGAGGTCAGAAGAGGGCATTGGATCCCCTGGAACTGGAGTTATGGTCGGTTGTTAGCCACCATGTGGGTGCTGGGAATCAAACCTCGGTCCTCTGCAAGAGCAGTCAGTGCTCTTAACCACTGAGCCAACTCTCCAGCCCTCTCCTTTCTACTTTTTTGACCAACATACCCACACATAAATATAAATCTAGATTCCCATATATGATAGAAAACATGCTCTGACTCTGAGTCCATCCACTTTCCTACAAATGTCATGATTTCATTATTCTCTCTGGCTAAATGAAATTCCATTATTCATATGCACCATGTTCTCTTCCTGTTGTGCATCAGAGCCTCTGGTAGCTCTCTGTGGTGACTGGTGGGGGCTGGTGGCACCTTGGAAGGAGGATGTAGGGCATGTCCTCCTGTTGTGATTCTTTGTTCAGCCAGCCTTTTCTGAGAGCCTCCTGTCTGTCAGACTAGGTAGGTGCTCAAGATGTGAGCAGGAAGAGGACCTTGACCCTGTTATGAAATCTGCTTGGGGCAGAGAAAGGGAGGGACATTTGCTGCTGTGTGAGAAGCAGGTTGACAACTACAGCGACTATTCACAGCACCATCCAGTCTGTTGTGGCACTGCATCGTCTGGTAATTTCATGGAAGAGGGAACACCAACAGGGGTGTGTCCCTTATTGACCCTCATTGATGACTGCGTGGGCTCAGAACCAAGGCCTGAGAGGAGGAAGTCACAGAGAACAAGGACATTAAAATATAGTAGTGGGGCTGGAGAGATGGCTCCGCGGTTAAGAACACTGGCTGCTCTTGCAGAGAACCCAGGTTCAATTCCCAGCACCCAGCAGTTATGAACTGTCCTTAACTCCAGTTCCAGGGGAGTCCAAAGCTCTCTTCTGACCGAGAATTGCACAACACAGGTGCACTCACATACATGCAGGAAATACACTCATACGAATAAATAAATAAATTAATTAATTATATATAAATGGTTGTGTGCTAGCCTTACGTTCTGTGTGCAAGGTACTGTCTGTGCTAATGACAGATATGTGTATCATGTCCTTAAGTCCTCACATCACCCTGTGGGCACCCCTAGATCCCGTTGTGACCTCTCAGACAGGGAAAGAAACTGAACCTCAGGGTGGTTAAGTTCCCTGCTCAAGGTCAGTTTGTGGACTTAAGCCATCTTATCCAGCACCTGAACTGAAGTGTTTTTCCTGAACTACCAATGATAAATGGGTATTGATAAGATGCTGGTGAATGGGTAGCTCCATGGTATAGCACTTGCTTAGCATGCCTGAGACCCTGGATTTTAGTCCTCTCTGTGTTAAAGACAGAAGCGAAGCTATAGGCAAAATATAAGTGGAAGTAAATATTTGCCACATCAGCAGCACAAGATGATGTTGTGCCATTCCTCAGTTTTCTCATGGGTAACATTCTGAGATGTGTCCCCAGAGGATTTTAGCGAAGATCAAATGAGATGTGACATCAGTTGGGTGCCTTTCCTGGCAGGCATTTACCAAGGATGCTAACATGGTATGGTCCCAGTTTAGCTTCCCTCTGTTGTTCTAACACAGAATGGCAGGTACTTTAATATATTTTTAATTTTTTTATTTGTTTTTACTGTGTGTGCATGAGTGTTTTGCTAGTATGTGTGTGCAATGCTTGCAGAGGCCAGAGAGGGCACCAGATCCCCTAGAACTGAAGTTATAGGCAGTTGTGAGCCACCATGTGGATGCTGGAAATTGAACCTAGGTCCTCTGCAAGAACAACCAGTGCTCTTAACCTCTGAGCCATTTCTCCAGCCCCCTTTTATATACTTCTTAAAGTTTTTTTCTCTAAATTTAAAATTATTTCAATGGAATTTTCTTTCTTGTAGAAAGATGTGGTTATGCTAAGGGAGGGCTTTTTAAAAATGTCTTGCAAATCCTACTTCCTGTCTGCTTATTCGATGTAATAATTAAAAAAAAAGTTCAGTATTGGACATGACATTGGTTCAACATAGTAGTGTGCATGACCTACCTCCCCAATGCCATTTCTGACACATACAAATACAACAGGTCCTACTCAACCCTGCCTTCATTCCTTCCCTGATAGCAAGCTGTCCTCTCTTTGAGGTGGTGATGTGGGTCATAAAGTAAGAATTCACAGACAATGGTTACCTAACTGGATATACCTTTCCCTTGTTGGACACTGACAGCTTTAACTCCCATGTGTTCCACAGCTGGCTCCTTCCCTGCCCTCCTGTTGAACTGTGCCCATGGCAGACCACCACACATTGCCATGCTTGCTCCATGTGGATATTCATTTGGGGGTCATGTGACCACTGAGCCAGGCTACTGATATGCTCCATTGCTGCTGAGAGGCCTGTTCTTGACATCTGGTTTCCAGTACTGTGCTGTGGGTGCTAACCTGATTAAGCTATGTGATGATAAAACATCACTGGCTTCCCTTCACTTGGGCACCCAAAAGGGAAAACTTGCTTATAGAACCAGCTTCACAGACCTCTGGTCTCCTGTAGATTTGATCCAAATAAAGCCACCTCAGTGAAGACTCAAACCCAAGACTGTTAGACTCTGCTCAGTCTCCTCTGAAACAAGAAAGGCAAATGTGGCAAAAACCACAGTATTTAGAGTTAGTAAGTAGTGAGTGTTGAGGAGAGGAGGGCCAAAGTGAGACTGCAGCTGCCTGGGGACCGTGGGCAGCTGCTCAGAGAAGTAGAACAGAGTATGGCCTGGATCCACTGCAGTGGATCCAGCTGCTTGGGCCTAAGCTGAGGCAGGGTTTGGGGTTCCCTCTCTTTCAACACAATCACTGTGCCTGCACCAAAGGGGAGCTAGGCTCCCTTGTAGACTGAGGGAACAACACAGTCAGCTCAAGAGATTTGTGCAAGAAAGGTGTTTTCCAGGCAAAAGCAAGTATTCTGAAGAAGACGGGCAGAGAGGGGTTAATTAATTCTGTGGTCAGGAAGGACAATCAACATGGCAGATCAGGAGGAGGCTTGGGAAAGGGCTGAGCATGTTCAGGAAAGCCAGACACGAGTCACCACATCCAGCTTACAAATAGTATGTTCTAATGAAAAGTAACTGTTTTCCAAAACAAAAATAAAGGAAAATAGTCCTTTCATTTTTGCAAATCAGTGCCAGGTCTGGCTGTGTAGATGCCATGTGGTCTCACCACAGCACAGGCTTCAGTCTTCTGCCGTCACTTCTGTCTCCCACCAAAATGGGGGCACATGGATGAGACTGACATCCAGACAGCCTTGAGAACTGCTGAGAGGCTTTGGGTGGTTCCTGGGGGTTCACTGAAGTGCTAGACCTGCACCTCTCAGTCCTGGACAGTTCTGTACCCTCGGGCCGCCTGCCCCTTGTTATATGTGCACTGGATTGGGACCAGAGGAGACAGTGAGGAAAGAAGCTGAGCCCTGTTTGGCAGTGCCTTCCTTTCCATAGAAACCTGAGGACTGAAGAGGGGGGGTACCATGCTCCTGGCACCATTCTATACAAGGGGACCCTCCTATTCTGCATCTGGTGATGGCAGGCAGTTTGTCATTGGTCGTGAATTTCACTTCTTGTGTCTTTAAAAATCTTTTCATGTTAGAAAAGTCAGGCTGGGGATGTAGCTTACAGGGTAGCTGAGGTATGCATGAGGCCTTGAGTTCAGCCTCCAGCACAAAAGTAAATAATAAATAAAAAGTACACCAGTATCACTGTGAGCTAGCGTTGGTACCCACCATGCTGGTCTCCTGGGAGTCTATTCAGCTGATGGTAGCTCCTGACTATCCTGGACAGGTGAAGCTGGCACCACATGGTTGTTTGGACATCAGAAAACTATTTTTATTTCCATTAGGCTCAATCCCAGAGCATGCTACAGTTGCTTTATGCCTAAGCTACACACCCAACCCTAAGAATGTGGCACTGTTTCTAACAGTCACTTTCTCCTGCTTTGTCCATAGGCCTTCTTCCTGGTGTATGCCCTGGGGTGTCTCAGTATTTACTATGAAAAGGTAAGGACTTTTGTGTAGACATAATCCCCTTTCAGTTTCCATGTGTTGACAGCAAGTTGTACCCATTCCTGTACAGCTTTGACACAAGTGTATTGACTTCAAACCAGTGAAACAGGAACTGAATTTTTCCTCCAAGTTTTGGCCTTGGATCCTCACTGGATCAGTTTGTATAGGAGCTAACTTCCACCTCTTCATGCATTTCACTCTCAGAGACTAACAGAAGTGCAATTCCTTACATAAAAGCAGGAAGCCTGGGGCAAGGCAGTACTCAAAATTACCAACAAAAATCAAACTGTAAGTGGGATACAGCTCGGGTGTAGAGTACAGCTTGGCATGCTGGAGGCCTTGGGCTCCATCCCCAGCACTATAAATATTAATCAAACTTACTGGTATTTAGTACCTGCATGGCACAGGTACTAAATGCACTGTTTCTTTTTTGTTTGGTTGGTTTCTGCTTGCCTCTGCCTCCCGAGTGCTGGGATTAAAGGCATGCACCACCATGCCCGGCTGGATTTTTTTTTTTTTTTTTTTAGTTTGAGTCTAGGGGGTTTGTTTTGGTGTGTTTTTTTTGTTTTTGTTCTTGAAACAGGATCTCACTCTCTAGCCCAAGCAGGCCTTAGACTTGAGACAACCTTCCTCCCCCAGCCTCCTGAGAGCTGGAATTACAGGTGTGGGCCATGATGCCTGGCTCTTACCCTTACCTCTTCCTGGTAAGAATTGTACCAAGATAACTGAGGCTCAAAGAAAATAAGTAACTCAACAAAGCCACCCAGCTAGTGTAGTCCAAATTAGCAGTTAAGCCCTTGTCTGAGTAACTGTAAAGCCAATGGTTTTGACTGGCCTGTGGCCATTAGAAGATAGTCAGCGGTGGTACCCCTTGCTGACCTCCAGGCAGAGGAAGAGAGGAGCCTGGGGGCGTGGGTTCTGTCGCTTAGCTAAACTGTGTGTCTCACTGAGTGACTGAGCCCCAAAATAGCTGAAGGATTGACTCCTTTACAAAGCACTGGAGCAAAAAAAGAAACTTCCCAAAGGTTACTTGCTGTTACTGTTTGTGTTACATGAGAAAGCATTCTCGTCGTTCCGCTCTCCTGGAAACAACTCCCTCCTGAACCCGTTGGCCCATTAGATTGTGCTATAAGGTAACAGGTCTCTAATCTTACAGGTTAAAAACCGAGCACTGGAGCATCTTTTGTTTTTCAATGAAAATTTTATTTACAAATTATTTTTTACTTTTCTGAGCATAGCCTGACATTACAGTACTCACTAAAGGATCTATGAAATGTTTCAGCACACTGCCCTCCAGCTGTGGTGGGCTTGTTACACTTAAATACCATAGTACATGCTGGTTCCTCTGTCTAGAATGTCCTTCCTTACCTCCCCACATCTCCCCATAGCCTCGCACCCCTTGCCCTTGGCTGCTTCCCATTCCCAAATGTTGACTTTTCTTTCTTTTCTGGTGCTGAGGATGAAGCCCAAGGCCTGTGCACGCTGAACCTGTGCTCTACCAAGCTGCACCCCAGCCTCACTGTTGCCTCTCCTGAGCCTCTAGAGCTCTGCTGTCCAGTAGAAGTAGAACGAGAACCTCAGCTTGGAGCCACATGGATCATTTTAGATTTTTTTTTTTTTCTTTCGGTCTTTTTGAGACAGGGTCTCCCTGTAGCCCCAGCTGGCCTGGAACTCACTATGTAGACCAGACTGGCCTTGAAGTCACAGAGATCCACCTGCCTCTGCCTCACGAGTGCTGGGATTAAAGGCATGCACCACCACACCTGGCTCATTTTAGATTTTTTTTGGTGGCACATACTTGTAATCCCAGCACTTGGAGGCAGAGGCTGGAAGACTGGAGCTCAAGACTAGCCTGGGCTATAATAGTGATCTCTGTGAGTTCAAGGCCAGCCTGGTCTACATAGTGAGTTCCAGGACAGCTGGGGCTACAGGGAGACCCTGTCTCAAAAAAAGACCAAAAAAAAAAAAAATGTGGAGTTTTTTGTTTGTATGAATTTTTTTTTGCCTTCATGCATATAAGTGAACCATGTGTGTGCAGTACCTGTAGAGGCCAGAAGATGGCATCAGATCCCCTGGAACAGGAGTTGCTAGCTACTATAAAGCTGCTAGGAACTAATCTCATATCCTCTGTAAGAACAGACAGTGCTCTTAACCACTGAGTCATCTCTCCAGCCCCAAGAGTATTTTTTTTTAAAGCAAATGAAGCTAATTTTAATAATGTATACATAGTTCATTTAGCTATTCAGGAGATCTGGGAATGTAGCTCAGTGGTAGAACACTTGCCTAAGCATACACAAGGTCCTGCCTTTCATCCCCAACACTGCAAGGGGACAAAGTGTGATTAACTTGACAGAACCAGAACCACTGAGATTCCTTACATTGTTCTCATTGGACCTTGGTGTGCACATTACACTTGCAGCACTGTGTTGCAGCAAGCCAAGTGTGGTCACTGTCACCCTGACATTGTGGGTCAGGTCTGGCTGAATCCAGCTGGCAGAAGGATCCTGTTTCTCTCAGCCCCACACTAGTATGGATATCAGTTCCCTGGCAGAGTGGGCATGAATACATGTATAATGATGCCTTTTTAAAAACAACTTTAGGAGCCTTTAACCATACTGAAACTCTGGCAAGCCTTCACTTCGATCCAGCCCACCTTCAGGACTACCTACATGGCCTACCACTACTTCCGAAGCAAAGGCTGGGTGCCCAAAGTGGGGCTCAAGTACGGGACAGATTTGCGTGAGTAAATCTTGTCGGGGGTGTGAGGATAGGGTCTGCCCCTGGTTCACCTGGGAGGTCAGGTGGCTACCTGCTGTTGCTGAGGAGTCTTCTGCCTGGTTTCATTTCAAATGTTGGGTGTTTGGGTGGGGTGGGTTAAGTACAGAAAGAGAAAAGCGGTATGGGGGAAGCCTGTGAACAGAAATCTTTGGGCTTTCCAGCCTGTTTGCTCTATATAGGAAAGTGTGCTATAGCAACCACCTACCTTGCCTTAGCGAGGGCTGTATGATTTTTGCCTGTCTTATATCCTTGCAGCCTCAATTGCCTTGTCCTCCACATAAGAGGAGCCATGGAATTGTAATAAGCCCAGCTGTCACTCATCAAGTGTGCCTTGTCAGTGCTGTTTTAAGTCCCTACCACGCCCAGTCCTTGTGGCAGCCCTTTTCTCTTTTCTCTGCCCTATGTGCTCCTGCCCTCACTTGTCTGACAGAACTGCAGTTTGGAGAGGATGGGTCATGTGCTCATAACAGTTTCTGAGGCCAATAACTTACAGGCTTTGAATTACAGTGTGCAGGTACACAAGCATTTCTACTGGTACTGCCTCCCTGATAGATGGTCTCAGAGTTCAAGTCTGGCTCAGGTGAGCTCTGCACTTAGTAATCCCAGAGGGCCTGCAGTGTCAAGAACACAGGTGAAGAAGCATGTACAGCCCTAGCGGCACTTACTGGGGAGCAGAGAAGGAAGCAAATGTAGAGCCAAGAGTGGTGGCCCAGACCTTTACTCTCAGCACTCTGGAGGCAGGGGCAGGGGCAGGGGCAGGTGGATCTCTGTGAGATGGAGGCCAGACAAAGCAACTTCCAGTCCAGCTACAAGGAGACCCTGTTTCAAAAAAAAAAAAAGCACATGTAGTTGTAATTTCAGAGTGAAGGAAATGAAGGACAGCACTGAGTGGTGGGAAGGACCCCTGGAGGGTGTGAACACAGTGGGGGGTGGAGTCTGGGAAGAGCACCCTGGGCAGAAAGAATAGCAATCACAAAAGGCTGAGGCAGGGCACACTCGCAGGTTTCAGGAAGAGTGTGGAGGCTATGGCCATCCCGTGGGTCAGGCTGGGACCAGATCAGGGGTGCTTTGGGTTCAGAAGCCTTAGGAAGATTCTGAGCAGAGAAGTGACCTGAATTGAGTAGGCTCCTCTGTCTTACTAATGACTGAGAGGACCAATGGAAGAGAGATTGGTTGGTGAAGCCATGGCAACAGACCCACCAGCAGAACAGATGTGGCACTTTCAGGTGGAGGAACAGGCAGCTCCTGGGCACTGGCTCATATTCTGAGGGTATTTAATTCATTCAATGGAGGCAGGTCAAGAGTACTCTCCTGAAATGCCTAGAAACAGAAGCATTTTGGGTTTCAGACTTTAGAATACCTGCATGTACAGAATGCACTACCTTGGGAAGGGGACCTGAGTCACAGCACAGGCTCCACTATGGTTCCTAGACACCTTGAGCACTAGACTGGAGGTAAGTGCGCGACACTGCTTTACCATTTTATGCACAAAACAAAGCTCCATGGTCTGGAAGTTTCTACTTGTGGCATGTCAGCATTCCAAACTTCACATTTGGGGATGGTGGGGGCATAGCTCGAGGGTAGAGCTTTTGCCTTGCATGCGTGAGGCCCTAAGTGTGAACCCCAACACCAAAAAGAATTCAGATTTTGGAGCCTTTGGAATTAGTGATGCTCACCCTGAATTGAGAGAGGAGCTGGGCAGTCTTGGGGTGCTAGAGTGCTTCAAGATCGACTCCTGGGTTAATAAGCTTGTATCTTTGGGTTCATTCCTTAAGTCACTGAAACCCATTTCCACATAGGCCGCATGAGGGTGCTTCCTGGGTCTTTTCAGAAGTGTTCGTGAGGCCCAGATAAAAATTTCAAAGTACTGGAGAGGCCTCAAAGTCATAGCCTTGAGGTCTGGGCCTGCCATGGCTTACTCCATGTTTTGTTTTGTTTTGTTTTGTTTTAAAAAGCTCAGTTTAGTCTTCCAAATTCTTAATGCTCTAAATAGACTATGCTTAACCTGGGCTCATGGGATAGTCTCCAGGGGCACCAGCAGCCCTGAAGTTCTCATGCCTGTCCCTCTAGTGTGAAAGATCGAGCCTTGCCCCTCCTTCTGGGATGAAAGACTTCCTTTGTTTCTGCCATCCCAGATATCAGGCACAGATGGCTTCATGGGGTAAGCACAGGTGCTCTGGGGATAAGTTTGCAGAGTCTCAGGTAGTTGTGTTGGCCACAGGTCATGTTCTCTCTCTTCACTGATGTCTTCCCTTCTCCTGTCAGCCCAATCAGCAAGGCTATCAGGATGCACCCAGAGGCAGCATGGGTAATAGAGAGCTCTTGGAGCACTGCCAGCCCTACCTCTTATTGCCTGGATGACTGCAGATGAGTTCCTTAATCTGCCTGAGATGTTTTCCATGTGATGTAGATAAAACACCTTTGTAGGTGTGCGCCACCATGCCTGGCTCCCAGATTGATATTTTAAAAAGAAAAGAAATCATGGTGGGGCATGCCTGTAATCCCAGCACATGGAAGACAGAGGCAGAATGGCTGTGAGGTTCAGGCCAACCTGGGCTACAGAGTGTGATCCTGTCTCACAAAGCAGCTAAATGAACAGAGGAGGGGTTGAAAGGAGAGAGACAGGAAGGCAGTCAGAAAGCTTTTCTCTGAGACCTCTGGGGCCTTGGCATTCTGGCCACTTGCATGATTAACATGGCACTGGTCTCCATCTCATGCCCCAGAGTCAGACTGGCCAGTAGCAGCAGGAGGGGTTCTCTACACTCCCTGCTTTGGCAGTGCCAGCCTTGGTTAAAGGGAACAGCTCTAAGCTCTGCATCTTTTCCATGCTTAGCTGCTGCTTTTTATCAGTATTAATGTCAAAGGCCGGTGACACAATCACATATACCCTAAGACTTCCAACACAGGTCAATCCCAGGACCATCTTGTCCTTAAGGTTATGACTCCTGATAAAGGGCAACTATAAGCACCACATATAATCAGAGAGTCTTGTTTAAGTTGGTCCTGTCAGTCACATTTCATTTTGGTGGCTATTCTCAGAACAAGTGATGAACTTTAAGTCAAGAGCAGCTGCTGCTCCTTTGGATCTTGATCCCCTAGAGAAAGTTTGGCCAGACCTCGGAGGGAGGGAGCCTTTCTGTGGTCCCCTCCACAGTAAGAGGATCCCTGCCAGGCTTTCTTGTCTCCTGGAATCATTGTATGCTGGGTGTGTGACTATTAGCCTCCTGCAGCTGAGGAATTTCAGTGCAGAGGGGCTGAACAAGTCACCTAGACCCCACAACAGACATGTGCAGGCACAGGGCTGCCTGGATACATGTTCTTCTCCCCAACACCTGACTCCTTTTGCCATCCAAGAAGCCAAAAGCCCACTGCATCTTTCTCTTGTATTATGCACACATGTACACACATGCCCATGCACACACGCAGGAGCGGCCTAAAGTCACGCAACTTGGGGTGGCAGAGACTGGGCAGGCAAAGCTTCTGAGTTCCCATGCACCCCACACCAGGTTTCCTTCACTATACCACACCCCAAAAGTAGAGAATTGAATATGTTGGATATTTACTTAACATGACCTGAGTTGCTGAGTACTTGAAATACAATTTAAATAGGAAATGAGATTCTGAAATGAAAACATGACCCCAGAAAACACACACTAGCAAGATCTGACTCAGTGGAGGGTTTCCGCAGTGTCCTGAGGTGACTACAGGATCCCACGTCCTCGAGAAGAACAGAACTTTTCCTTGAACCTTCCTCCATTGGGTAGCTAGTTCAATGTGTTAGCAGCAGTAATTCCCATTGCTTACAAATGCAAGGCCTGGAGGCTCGGCCAAAGCTCTCACTCTTAGTCATGGGAAGTCAAGCATTTCTGATTGGTGGGCAGATGGGCTCCAAAAGGTGCTTCAGGGTTCTGGCTCCTGCTTTCTTGTCTTTAGCACTGGCTCCAGCTCTAGATCAAGGGCTGAGCATGTCTAGACTTAGGAGTGGCTGTGGGCCAACCTGAAAGTGACATAGTGCACAGTCCAGGCTCAGGGACTAAGAGCCCTGGAGGAGGCAGAGATGGACTTGATGAGCAGCTAGCCTGTTCCTGACAAAGCTCCTGACACAGCTCCTGGCCTCCAGATAGTCCCCTGCAGAGTCCCACAGTGCCTAGGCCTAGGCTCCTTCACTGAGTGGCTCTTTTCAACCTCCATGGACTGGCTTCACCCTGCGTGGTAAAATGGAGGGCCTTTCCAGATAGAGCAGTGCACAGAGAAAGAAAATCCATGACCACTCAAAACCAAAAGCTTACTTGCTTATGTCCCCAAGAGAAGGGCAGACTGGAAAATGGGTGGAAAGATTAGTAATGGCTCTTTTTTAGCCTCTTGACTTTGGATTTCTTTTTTTTTTTTTTTTTTGAATTTTGTAATTATTTTTATGTGTATGTGTGTACTGCCTGCATGTAGGTAAGTGCACCCATGTATTGTTCAGCTCTCTAGGGCATTTGAGGCCCGCTGGGCCCTGTGCTCCAAAGGACAGGAAAGCAATGCCAGGCATGGTGCCTCAGGTTTATAATCCCAGCATTTGGGAGGCAGAGGCAGGAGGACTCCTGTGGCTACAGTTTTTGTTGTTTGTTTGTTGTTTTTTTTGTTTTTTTTTTTTTTGTATTTTGTATGTTTATCTGTGTGTGTGTGTGTGTGTGTGTGTGTGTGTGTGTGTGTGTGTGTGTGTTGCATGTGACCGCAGGTAGGTACACATGAGGTCAGAGTAAGATGGGTATCTTCTGTTCTCCACCTTATTACCTTGAGACAGGGCTCTCCCTGAACCAGATGCTCTTGGTTTTGGTGGGCTGGCTGCTAGCCAGCTCTAGGGACCCACCTATCTCCACCCCTTGGTGCTGGGGTTACAGACATGCATAGCCACGCCCTAGTTTTGATGTGGGCACTAGGGGTTCAGGTTCATAGCCACATGCTCATACAGGAAGTGCTCTTACCCACTGAGCCATCTCCCCAGCCTCTGAATTTCTCTACCTGATCTTCACCAAAAAGCTGAGAAGCAATCCCTAAATTTCATAAAAACAGGCTTGAGTCTTGTTCATTTCCAGCAGTACCTGCTACAGCACCAACCAGACTGCGTACTCCCTCACTCTGAAATTGGTTAGTTTGGAGTGAAGAGCAAATATTCTACGTTTTATAAACATCACAGTTTAGATACAACTTCACAGGCAGCCTGAAGAGTAAGGAGTGAGAGACAGATGGGAGTCATGTGTGGCTGGGGCATGACTTGGGAAGAATTAGCCCCTGGACTGGGTCCCCAACACCAGGAAAAAAACAAAAGGAAGGGCTTGTGCTTGACTCTGGGTGCTGCTTGTGGGATGGGGTGGGGTGGGCAAGAGCACAGGGTCTTGGCAGCAGATTTGACTCACTGCACTTTGTTTCAGGGGGAGAAAGAGTTTGGATTTGAAACCAGGCAGCAGGGCAACGTGTCATGCAGATAGCTGGGTGTTTGCCTCCCTTTAGAGAGGAAAGCAGCAAATAAATGAAGCAAGCTTTTGATTTTGAGTGGTCACAGATCTTCTTTCTCTTTGCAGTGCTCTATCGGAAAGGCCCTCCATTTTACCATGCAAGGTTTGGAGCAACTTTTAAATAAACTAATGGAAAGAACACAAGGACATTTCTGGCTTCCAGTTCATCAGTGCCACAGGGACCATTCCTACAGGCCCTGATGGGGTTGAGAGTAAATGTGAAGGCTGAGCCTGGGGCGCAGCTGGGTGGTAGAGCACTTGCCTAGCATGTGTGAAGCCCTGGGTTCTGTTCCTAGCACCACAAGGGGAAAAAAAGCAAGCCTTCCACAGTGCCCTTTCCTCTGTAGACAGAGTGCTCTGTAGGGGTGGAATTGTGATTCTGTGTTAAACACTGAGTTAATCTATGGGTAATGTTCAGAGCATCCAGTGAGTATGTGTCCAAGCAGGTGCGAGAAGTTACAGCTTTCACCTTGGGGAAAAACATTCCCATCCCTTCTGTAAGTCAACATTGAAATCAGCCTCGAGGTTGGCAGCTCCCCATTGAGCTCGTCAGTAGTTATTCTCAACAGCGGTGTAGGCTTTTAGCATCAGGCATGTGAATTTCTCCTGTGTGAACAGTTGGATTCATGGTTTTCTGTTCAGAATGCCCTCCTATCTTCCAGCTATTCTGTCATCATCGAGCTAGTCGACGACAACTTCGAAGGGTCCCTCCGCAGGCCTTTCAGCTGGAAGTCACTGGCCACCCTGAGCAGAGTCTCAGGAAATGTCTCTAAGGTACGACATTGGCTTTGACTGGCTGTCACTGGAGTGGTTCCATTTTTATTCTTAGACATAGTAGAACTTTTAAAATATAGTCATTTATACCACCAAGTAAGGCACACACACCTATAATCCCAGAACTTAGAAAGGAAAGCAGGAGGATCGTGAATCTGAGGCCAGCCTGGTGTCCCCATCTGATGGCATGTGTGACATGCATTTACTGTTGTGAGTACTGTGGGCCCAGCTTCGTCACATCTCTCACCCTCTCAATGATTATAAATGGCAGGTTCTTAGAGGAAAGCCGAGCCCCAGGAAGAAAGGGGAATGCCCAGTGAGTCTGCATACGGTGTGTCCTAGCACACACAGGGAGGGCTGTGGAGCACCCCTGAGCACCCTTGCTCACACATCCACACTTGTGAGGTTGTTTCATGGGCTGTGGAAATTGCTTTCCTTTTCTCAACAGGAGCTGATGCTATGCTATTTGGTTAAGCCCTCGACCATGACCAACAAAGAAATGGAGACCCCAGAGTGTATGAAGAGGATTAAAGTTCAGGTGTGTAAGCACAGAGACAGGTCCACAGCATCCCAACATTCTGTGAGCTGAACTTAGTCCTCTGGAACAGGGGTCACTAGAAGCCAAATAAAAGTGGTCTGGCTGTGGTTACAAAAAGCCTCTTCTGGCCCTGTAAACCTCTGTTACCTTCTCCCACTGAATTCGTTAGACTCGTAGCATTCTGCAATCCTTTGCTGCTTTGTCTGTTGCTCCCGGATCACCAGCTGTGGGTAGGCCCTCCCACACAGCCAGGCCAGGATCTCCACAGTCTCATTCCTAGAGACTAAACATGCCTCTCCCTCCTTGACCTTCTCCCCACCCTTTCAGTGCTGGGGTAGAACCCAGAGCCTCACTCGTGCTAGGCACTGGCACTGCAGCTCAGCCTCGCCCTACCCCTCACATCTGACTCCTCCGTGTCTGTATTGAGTCAAGCCTCCTCCTGCCTTGACTGATTTTCTTCTGCTGGGGCTTAGGTTCATTGTCAAATCAGCGTTGTATCGATAGTAATGTTTTGGTGCCTACAGGACTTCTACAGTATCTTTGGCTCCTCCCCTGACAGCTAGTGTGTCTTTCTCTGTGCTGCATCTTCCCGGTTCCCACTACCCTGTCCCAGGCAAACCTTCCTATTGTCTCCAGGGCCCCAGTGCCACCTCCCTCCATTAGTCCTACTCTTCTCCACTGCTGATCAAAATCTCCTTCTCCTCTCTCAGCTGACCCAGCAATCCCAGTACCCCACAGACCAGGGCCCAGTGTTAGAGACTCCAGTCCTCACTGCTGACGTGTGCTGGGAGACACGTGCACCCCCAGGTCCTCACAACAGCAATGTAGACACCGTCCCCCATAAAAGTGATGGCCGTACCTCACACTCTCCACATCTTCCTCCTTTGAGACTAGTTAGGGAATCCTGTGAAGACAGCTCTTTGTGGAGTATGCTCCCTGATTTCAAATGCTTGGAACACTCTTCTGTTTTTGAAATTTAGTTCTTTTACTCAATTGCAGGAGGTGATTCTCAGCCGATGGGTTTCTTCCCGAGAGAGAAGTGACCAGGATGAGCTTTAACCATTCAACCTGATTCCTCATTTCACCAACAACACTTACTGAGTGTCCTGAGATGTGCCAAGTTTAGGGCTAGGTTAAAAAGTCCTTTCATTATAATCTCCCATTAATTTACCAGTTGGAAAGGGTATGAAGCCCTTGGTTCTAGAAAACAATTAGTGTTTTAGAAGATAAAATCACACAGGAAAGAGAAAGAGACTGAAGACTCCTCCCCATGTTCTTGAGCCAGTCGCTCCTGGCTCTGGCTGATCCGAGCTCCATACCTCTGGACCAGAACCTGACCCCTGGGGAGGGAGGCCTCGCTGAGCCCAAGTCTCCACAGCACTTTCCAAGCAGCAGAGAACTCTATTCTGAGTTTACCTGAGAACACAATAGTTAGCATTGACACAGCACTCCACAGTTTATAGAGTGCTGTGTCCATAGACCACATCATGCATCTCGGCGCCTGCATCGCATCAGTCTACCTCAGAAAGTGTCAGAGCACACTTGAGGCCACACCCATGTTCTGTTACTTTAAATAGAAAATAGACTTGTGTGACTCAACTTATCCAAGGACTTCAACCAACAACCCAAATGTTTAAAACTCCATCGACTATCTGCTGGGGACTTCTGTATCATGGGAAGCCTGATTAATTCTCCGTGAGCTCAGTATTTGGCGGGTTTGTGCATAGACTACAATATTGTACAGTATTAGCTTAAATTACATCTTGCTTTGGGGAGCTTTTTATGAAATAAAAATAAGCAATGAAATAATGTATTTGGAGAGACATAACGAATGATTTATAGCAAAACAGGACAAACCTTGCCTTTTTATGGTTACAGAGCAGTGAAAAGTTACTTGAAGGGCATTTAGTAGTAAAGGGGATGTCTTAGTCCTTTTTTTGTATTGCTATAGCAGAATACCTGACGCTGAATAGCTTATTTGGTTCTTGGTTTGGGTAGCTGGAAAATCCACACAACAAGACACAGGTTCTGGCACTCTGGTGGAATCACAGTATGGTAGAGATGTGAGAAAGGAATTGCCCTCTGCAAAAAGAGCATACTGGGCCAGCTCTCATGGGAAACTGACCCATCCTGCAGGAAGTACATCGATCCCTTTCAGGGGTGGAATCCAGTGACTTAATTATCCCCCTCAAAGAACTCATGACTTTAGTACTGTTAACATTGGTAAATGAAACTTCAGCATGCTTCGGCAGAGACAGCAAACTTTCAAAAGATAGCCAGGAGGGATGTAGACATGGATGGTGGTCCTGTGAGGGTGGGTTGGAGCACCAGCGTGAACTAGTGGACATGTAGGAGAAATGCCTGTGGTTCATCCTGTCCAAGTTCAAGAAACTGGTAGACAGTCAGGGCACTTGACACTCCTGAAGTGGTCAGTTGAAAACTGTCTTTGGAAGCAGTGAAAGAGACGGGAAGGAATGAGAGAGAGAGGGAGGGGGAGACAGAGCGCTTCTGTGTGCATTGCTGTGGCCCATACGCTTCTGCTTGTATTTCCATGTCCTAGTTCTGTACTTTTGAGGGACTACATCCCTGAGAAGCAGACAGGGCCACTGATGAGTAATAAAAATGGCACACTTCTGGCTTCTTGGTCTGGGACAGAGGCCTGCCCCCCCCACAAGCTATCAGAGCCCCTTTTCTGGCTGACCAGTTCAAACCAATTTAGATAAGACTAAGGCCAGATCTGGTCATAGCTCACTCAGCTTGGAGCTATGACCTATGTGCTTTCTCTTCTTTGTTTAAGCTGACCAATCCAAAACTAGGGGAGAGGGACCTGCCCAGACCACAGAAATACTTAAAAAAAAGGCCAGAAAGGCCAGGCCCTCCTGGGAGCTTTGGATTTTTCAGTTTCCAAGTCCCTCTCACCAATATGAATGCTCTCTCTCTCTCTCTCTCTCTCTCTCTCTCTCTCTCTCTCTCTATGTATGTATGCATCTGCGAGATGCTCTGGCTGTGTGTGTGTGTGTGTGTGTGTGTGTTTCTTCACTTTTAATAAAGTTTGTTACCCATTGCTTTCTGCTGTGCCTGAGATTTTTCCTGCCTTTTAATTCTTTAATTGGCAGAAAAACAAATCCAGTCAAGACTCTTAGATGGTAGCTCTGAGGGTCCAGGATTTCTTGTGAGGACCACCAACTCATCAAGCCAAACCGTGAGAGAAGGGGCCTGTTGAGTTGTCAACACTTCTTCCTTATCCTGACAGAGACACTCCCACCGCACTTAAGGTTCAGTGAGAGGCCAGGTTGGTGATTTTCTCCCTTTTCTCTGAAGGAGCTCTACTGCCTATGTTTGAGAGAGCAGGAGAATTTTTTCAGATAATTCTGGCTGAAACCTTGGGCTGGCAACCATCTGCTGGAGCCAGGGAGATTGAGATCAACTCCAGAGAGCTCTTGGAGTTGATCACAGCAACTGGGAAATCATGGTCTCCAGTTAGCAATGGGATTTTTGTCCAGTGCTTGCTTCCTCTGCTTATCCCCTTTGCCTGTTTAGATCAAAATGAAAGAGGCCGTTAAGTAGTTAGGCTTGTGCAAAAGTTCTTTTATGTATATTTTAATTGAGTTTTTGTGTATTTCATATAATAGATCTTAATCAAATTTAGACACCCTCTCCCTATTGGATTTCATGCATTCTGTCATTATATGTTAAGTCCTATCTGGTCAAGCGTTGGTGCCCAGATGTCCCTCGCTGCACATTCATCCACTGGAGTCTAGTTAGCCTACCTAGAGTCACTCCTTTAATGAAGATCTGCTCTCCCTCATGTGGCAATAATCAGTTGCCAATAGTTCCTCAGCTGAAGATGGGGTCTGCTGCCCGTTTCCCCAGTTCTATGCTGAGTTTTTGTCTGATTGAGTCAGCATGGGTCTTGTGCATGCTGTCACCATTGCTGCAAGTTCATGTGAGCAGAGTCCCACTGGTCACAGAAGATACGTATGAAAGATGTCTAATCCCAAGTGACACATCTACAGTGGAACCTCAACACCTAAGGCTCATGGAACATAGCAAAACGGGGTAGAGAGAATATGAATACATACCTCAACTCTCACCAGTGAAGCTTCCTCATACAACAGAGTGTGATACACGCAGAAGGCCACAACTGGCTAAGTTTTAGGGAACGAAAGACTGCAGAGTGTATGTCCCTAGGTAGGACACCTATATTAAACCTCACCCACCCATGGCTCAGGGACCGTTACAAAACGGGGCAGAGATTGTAAGAGCCGGGGTTGGTGTATGAACAAAAGGAACAGGTTTTCAGGCCTCTGGGAACCTGCCCATGAATGTGCAAAAGTTCTTTAAGCAAGTTAGCTGTTCGGTGGCCAGAGACAAGTGAACAGAGACCATAACTGCGGTATTGTCCTAAGGCCTGACTCTGACCTGGATCTAGTCTTAGACTGGTCAGGGTGAAACCTGGTCTGGGTGCTAGGAGTGAGGCCTCTGCTTTGTGCCTTTTCTTGAAAATGTCACTTTCTGAGTTTTTTTTTTTTTTTTTCAGATGTTTTTGGGTTTTGTTTTGTTTTGCTCTTTTTGTTTTCTGAATTTATATTCTCTAGATTACAGGGACTCAAATCCGATTTATATGAAATAAATTACAAGAGTTCTCCCAATCCAGACAGCCATCTTTAAATGAAAAATTCACCATAAATGTTTCCTGTGCTTGGTTCCTGTCTAGATTAAGAAATGTAACATGAGGTGGAGGGCAGGGGGGCTGGAGCGATGGCTCAGTGGTTAAGAACACTAACTGCTTTTGCAAAGGACCCGGGTTCATTTCCCAGCACCCACATGTCCACTAACAACCATCCATAACTCCAATTCCAGGGGATCCAACACCCTCTTCTGACCTCTTCGGGGATTGCATGACACAGGTGCACTTAGATACATGCAGGCAATGCACTCAAACATAAAATAAAAATAATAGAATATTTTTTTAAAAAGAAAGGTAACATGGACTGACCGATAAGAATGAACACTGGCCGGGCATGGTGGCACATGCCTTTAGTCCCAGCACTTGGGAGGCAGAGGCAGGCAGATCACTGTGAGTTCAAGGCCAGCCTGGTCTACATAGTGAGTTCCAGGTTAGAATAAGAAGAGGACATGAAGCTGGGAGGGAGATGGGGTTGGTGAGGTGATGCTGGATGGGTGCAATCAATATACACTGTAACTATAGAAATGTATGGCACTTTCAAGGAATAAGAATGAACACTGGCCGGGCATGGTGGCACATGCCTTTAGTCCCAGCACTTGGGAGGCAGAGGGAGGCGCAGATCACTGAGTTCAAGGCCAGCCTGGTCTACATAGTGAGTTCCAGGTTAGCTGGAGCTACAGGGAGACCCTGTCTCAAAAAAGACACACACACACACACACACACACACACACAAAAGATTGAGCACTGTATCAGAGAGACCCAAAATTGGAGGAATTTCTCCCTTTTCTGTTTCACCTTGAGCATCATTCATCTCCCCTGTCTCCCTCAGCTAATCCAAAACTTTCAGAACTCATTGGCCAAGAGGCCAGCATCTTCCTGTTAGCTAATCAGTTGTTCAGGCTGTTGTTTGAGATGCACTGGGGTCCCATTCCCCCTGCATGAGAGGAGAGTCACTTTACATCTCTCCAAACAGCAGGATCCTAAGCTATTTTGTTACCTTTGGAAAAAGAAAAAGTTCCGCTGCTGCGTCTCACCATGATCTGTTAGTTTACAGATACAGCTAAAAGGGGGTTAATGTATTTTTAGATGGAATCGTTAGAAATATCTGGGGTACAAACAGAACCATCAGGGGCAGGGACCACAGGCATGGGTAAGTGCCAATCCCACAATGAGAACCAATCCCCATGGAGCAATTGGGTCATGCTACCATCAGGAGCTGAAGCCGCCTCTGGATACTGAGCTGAGCCAGATACCAGACTGAGACACTAGGATTTGATGACCTTTGTAGATCACTCAGATTTTTTTTTGTTTTCACTTTACAGATGGGACATAAACCTCTAAGGTTTCTTCAGGCTCCCCACTGGTTTGCCTCCTGGTCAACTTGGTCCCCCTAGGTCCCCAGTACAGAAGGTCTTAATCTTTGTCTCAATGCATGCATGACCTGAATATTCTCTGGGGGACAATGAGATATGGCCCACAGTGGGAACTCAAGTACAATGCAATTCTCAAATTACAACTATTCTGTAAAGGAGAAGGAAAGCCCTTTGAAGTTACCTAGATCCAACTTTTCTTTTACCTGTGGGACCATCCAGAACTCACTAAAAACTATAGGATGGACATCAAGACCTTAAAGAAAAATGTCTAATGTTTTTCTGCACTCGTCTGGTCTAAAGTTAGACTAAAGGGAAAAAAAAGTAAGTCTGACCACCTGCATGGTCTTAAACATCCAAAGGAAAGCATAACCAGACTCTGAAATGATTGGATTGTTTCTTGGATGGTCCTCGGACATTAGACTTAACCATATGAAATGTTACTTAGTTATTTCTCACTAATAATTTTCCTCTGGATAAGGAAAATGTTACCCAGATATAAGACTTCAGACCTTAGCTCAAATCAGCACTGTAGTGTCTACCTTCAGCCAAGAGGGATAGATTCACTATTGTTTTAACCTAAAATCTAATGACTAGATTTCTCCTCTATCCCTCTATAGAGGGCATCTGGGAGGGATCTCACACTGTGATTCTAGCCATGCCAACATCCATCAAAATGCCTGAAAACACATCAGAGGTTCATCACTTGAGTCCAGCCTTGAAGGTCAAAAGAAAAGGAATAACCCAGTAGATGTCGCTTGTGGGAACTCATCAAGTAATGTTTATGAATTTTGGTCAGGACATTTAAAAGACATCCTCTGTTCTGGCTTCTGGTTCCCTGGCTAGGGCTTATGCTAATAGCCTTTGCTTCTCCATGAAGTCTCTTTCCAAGTACTAATCAAAGACTTCTTGTTTTCCCAACAGCTAACAGTTCTATACTTTTAGGGTCCCCTAAACAGGCCCACTGAAGGGATATCCTGACTGCCACACCTGACACCCCCCAGCTGTAAAAAACTAGACTAATCATCACCCTAATCCCATACTGGCAGGATAACCTCTTCAGAGGGGGTATTGATGAGAACAGGAGATCGAAACTGGATCAGCAATACAGGGCAGGGACCCCAAATACAACAGTGCAAAACATGTCTTTGGTTCTCCAACCAGAAATGCCAAGAGAGATCTCTAGCTTCTTTTCTCCTAAACCAACGCCCTGCTACAAGCTGTGCATGAGATGGAAACTAAAACTCCAATCCAGACATTAGTCCCTTCTGAGAACAACTTTAGGAATATGTCTCTAGATTTTCATGGCTTACATTGATCCCCCAATTTCAGCTTATCTCCTAAATGATTTTAGGGCTATTGGTTCAGGTTGAGGACTGAGGGACTAAATCTCTGAGAAGCAGACAAAGCCACTGATGAGTAATCAAAACAGCACGATTCTGACTTTTTTTTTTTTTTTTATTTTGGTCTTTTAGCGCCAGCTGACCTCGAACTCACAGAGATCCACCTGCCTCTGCCTCCCAAGTGCTGGGATTAAAGGTGTGCACCACCACGCCGGGCAATTCCAACTTATTGATCTGAGATGAAGGCCTGAAGTCTCCCCTTCTCACCCGGCTCCAACCAGCAGGGCCCCTTTTCCAGTTGACCAGTCCAGACCAGTTTAGCCAGGCCAGACCTGCACATATCTCACTCAGCTTGAAGCTGTGACCTATGGACCCTCATTTCTTTAAGTTGACCAGTCCGAAATTAGGGGAGAGGGATTCCCCCATACCTGCAAAAACACTTGAAAGGCCCATGTCCTCATAGGGGCTTTGGATTTTTCAGTTCCTGAATCCCCTCTCCACACATGGAAAGCTTTTCTCTGTGTGTTTTTCTTCACTTTTAATAAAATATGTTAACGGTTGCTTTCTGCTGTGTGAGATTTTTTTCGTGTCTTTTAATTCTTTAATTAGTGGAGAAAACAAACCCAATCAAGACCCATAGATGGTAAGACTGTCTAGGCTGTAATCCTGCTCCCACACATGTGCAGTAGGCCTAGAGAGCTAAAGGTCAGTGGTTCAAGCAGCCCAGCCCTGCAGCTACCCTGTGGAAGCCTTCTCAGTGGAACTTAGTCCACTAGTTTTGCTGATCGTTTTTAGCATTTGTACTGTCTCGGCTCCTGAGCCAAGTTTCACTTGTATTTGTATTTTGTTCCTGTTTGAGTCATCGTTTTTCAAAACTTTCAAAGTCAATAAAAAAAATTTAGGAGCTGCTTCTCCCTTTTATTCAGTCCTATGCACCATGACCATCCAGGCCCACTCAGCCCATCCCCATGCTGCAGTGAGAACTCTTCTGTGAATTCTGTATCCAGGTTTCGTTGCCCTGTTGGCAACTGGTGTGACTTGAAGGTCAGACTGACTCCAAATATACAGGCTTCAATATTGCAGTGGGGGCTGGAGAGATGGCTCAGTGATTAAGAGTGCTTGCTACTCTTCCAGAGGACCTGAGTTCAGTTCCCAGCACACCCATGATGGCTCACAACTACCTGTAACTCCAAAAGATCTTATACCCTCTTCCGTTCTCTGTGGCGGCACTGACACACATATGGCATATACTCACACAGATAAACCCATGCCCCCAACTAAAAGTATTAAAAATAAGGCACAAGCTGTCTTCTTATTTGGGGGAGGGTGCAGGAAATTGAACCTAGGGTCTCTTACATGACAGGCCGGTGTTCCCCCACTGAGCTACACTCTTACCTTAATTTTTGTTAATTTTATAAATTTTTAATTTTTTAAATTAATTTTTATTTTATGTGTATGACTGTAATTGCTTATATGTGTGTAAGTGCACCCATGTCCTGCAGTGCACAAGGAGGTCAGACGAGGGCGTCGGACCCTCCAGAAGTGGAGTTATGGAGAGTTGTTTGCTGCCATGCAAGTGCTGGGAATCAAACCCGGGTCCTCCCCAAGAGCAGTCAGTGCTCTTAACTACTGAGCCACCTCCAGCCCTTAAATTTTTATTTTTATTAATTTTATAAACGTGCTTAGAGGAAAGCCATACACCTTTTTTTTTTTTTAAGACAGGGTCTCCCTGTAGCCCTAGCTGGCCTGGAACTTTCTTTGTAGACAGGCTGGCCTCGAACTCACAGACATCCACCTGCCTCTGCCTCCCTAATGCCAGGATTAAAGGCATGTACCATCACACCCAGCTGTGATGCACCTTTTTTATTAGCCACAGTTAAATACACTTAGAAATCTGCTATACTGAGGAAAGGTGATGACCCCAAGTGTCCTGTCCCCTCTGCCCTCACATACAACATCCAGCACAAGCTACTTTTTTTAAATTATTTTTATTTTAGGTGTATGAGTGTTTTGCTCGCATGTATGTAGGTGTACAACGTGAGTGCAATGCCCACAGAGGCCAGAAGAGGATGTTGGATCCCCTAGAACTGGAGTTATGGATAGTTGTTAGCTACCATGTGGGTGCTATGACCTGAACCCAGGTCCTCTGGAAGAACAGCCAGTACTCTTAACCACTGAGCCATCTCTCGAGTCCCTACAAACTTCTTTCTTAAGAGGGGCTTGCCTCTGGGTTGAGATGGTCAGTAACGTGGTAGCCCCTCTCCTGGATGACCCGGTAGAGTATGATGTACTTAGAAGCCAGCCTTGTCCTTGGGATCACAAACTTCTCTGTGAATTCGCTCTTGTCCAGCTGCTCTTTGCCTTCGGTGGTAAGGATGCAGTTGATGAAGGTGAGGGCGTAGTTGTAGCAATTGTGATCATCTTCCTCATACCTTCAGAGGAAGAATAGAAGACTAGGCTTAAGAGAATGCTACCCTCATTGTCCAGGCTGGCCTTGAACTCCTTGCCTCAAGCTTTCTTCCTGCTTCAGCCCCCAAAGTGCTGGGAAGATAAATGACACCATCCTGTGGGCCCCTAAGAAAGTTGGCTTTAAAAACTGTTCAGGGACTGGAGAGATGGCTCAGCTGTTAAAGAGTGCAGGCTGCTCCTGCAGAGGACCTGGGTTTAGTTCCTAGCACCTACATCAAGCAGCTAACAACCACCTGTAACTCCAGTTCCAGGGGATCTGACACCCTCTTCTGGCCTCCTCGGGCACTGCATGCACACAGTATACTTACATATATGCAGGCAAAACACTCATGCACATAAAATAAAAATAAATTTCTCAAAAAATTTTAAAAGGATAGGGCTGGAGAGATGGCTCAGCAGTTAAGAGCACTAACTGCTCTTGTAGAGGACCTAGGTTCAGTTCCCAGCATCTACATAGCAGCTAACAATCACCTGTAACTCCAGTTCCAGAGACTCTAACACCCTCTTCCAGCCTCTAAAGGCACTAGGCACACATATAGTGCACATACATGCAAGCAGACACACACACACACACACACACACACACACACACACACACACACATAAAATAAAAATATTTTTTTTTAAAAAAAGAAATGTCTGGGGCTGGAAAGATGGCTCAGCGGTTAAGAACACTGGTTGCTCTTGCAGAAGACCCAGGTTTGAATCCCAGCACCCACATGGCAGCTAACAACTGTCCATAACTCCAGTTCCAAGGGATCCACCTGACCACCTTAGGCATTGCACGACACAGATGCACTTGCATGCGTGCAGGCAATACACTCATATACATTAAGTAAAGATAATATATATTTTTAAATGGAATTCCATATCCAAGGTCTATGCTATTTCACTATCTAAACTTCTTTCAAGAAAGGCTTCAGAAAAAATTGAAAATCCACAATTATGCAATACATCTTAAATTCACAGAGGAAAAATTGAAAAATTAATTTCAAAATTGCTAAAAAACTGGTACTTTAATGTTTTTACACTTTAGACAATGTTTTAAAATTTTAGGGAATATAATACATTTTTTCTGTGCATATTTAAAAATATGTCATCACAGTTGGGTGTAGTGATGTACTCCTGCAATTCCAGCACGCTTGAGGTTGACGCAGGAGGATGGTGAGCTTGCGGCCAGCCTGGACTGCATAGTGAGACTTTGTCTCAAAAACAATAGCAAAAACTGGGGCTGGAGAGATGGCTCAGCAGTTAAAAACACTGACTGTTCTTCTGGAAGACCCAGGTTCAAATCCCAGCACCCACATGGCAGCTAACAACTGTTCCAGGGGATCCGACAATCTCTTCTGTTCTCAGGCATTGCACAACACAGGTGCACTAACCTACATGCAATACACACATACACATAAAATAATAAATAAAAAATGTTAAATAGCAAAAACTTTGGTCACATCAGCAAAACAACTAGAATGCACAGCTCTGACATTTCCAGCTTTCAAGTGACTTTGAGTGTGTCTCAGAGTCTGGATTAATCCCCAGCACCACCAAAACCAGTTATCATCACCAATATTTGCTGCCCCCATCCCTGCAGAAAATTTAAAATAGCACAACCCTTGTATTAGTTGCTTTTCTGATGTCTGTGACCAAACACCTGAGAAGAACAAGGGAGGAGGGATTTCTTTGGGCTCACACAGTTTGAGGAAACAGTCCATCCGAGCAAGAAGGCACTGGGACAGGAGCAGTTCATGGCCCGTGGTGGTGGGAGCAGGAGGCTTGCATGCTAGTATCTCCAGAGAGGAGGAAGCACAGATGGGACAGGAAGTAGCAAGGATTTAAACCTCAAGGCTGGTACCAAGAGCCCAGCTTCCTTCATCAGAACCCCACCTCTAAAGGTTCCACAACCTCCCAAAACAGCTCAACCATCGGGGGACCAAGTGTTCAAATGTGAGCTTGCATGGGACATTTTATGTGGGCACCTCGATTTAACTGTTCTCCCAGGCTCAACTTTCTCAAGCCTGGGCTCTATTTGAAACTGCACACAGTAGTGACTACACAGGGGCAAAGATTGTCACTTGCATGACGAATGAGTGGCAGTGATGCATTGTCTCTTTAGCCAACTACCTGTGAGGCTGCCAGGCCAGTGTGGCAGAGAAGTCTTCTAGATGCTTGTCCCATTGGTCCATCAGTCCAAACATGTTGGGCTGCACTAGTGGGATGCTGAGACTCTGTTCCCATCCCTCCTCGTCACACTGGACACCATGTGCGTTGTAACTGTAAACAACCCCTGCAAACCCAAAACAAAATCAGGGACCTCAGAAAATAGCAGTCGCCACCTCAAGTGCCAGCAAATACTGTAAATTTGGGTCACACTTTCTTTTAACTATCAGGGAGAGAGCCTGGAGTCAAGTGTGGGAAGTAACGGTCCATCTAGTGAGATTTGGAGGACTGTTTTTGTTTGTTTTTCTTTCTTTCTTTCTTTCTTTCTTTCTTTCTTTCTTTCTTTCTTTCTTTCTTTCTTTCTTTCTTTCTTTTTAAATTTTTGGTTGTTGTTGGACTTAAACCCAGGGCCTCATGCATGCTAGGCAAGTATTCTGCCATTGAGCTAAAACCCCAGTTATAGAGTTGTCTGGAAGGCTTATGTAGCCTCAACACAGTTATCTGCAAAGCCTGTTCTTTAAGAAAACCCAACTGTGCCTCTCCTATGACATTCCTCCAGGAGACAGTAACAGGTAGCCAGGAGTGTGGCTCAGTGATAGAGGTTTAACATGCTGGAGGCTCTGGGTTCAGTAGCTGACACCAAATAATAATAAATTTAAATGTGTATTTAATTGGTGCCTGGGTAATTATCTCCAGATATTTGTTGAAATTCTCTATTTATAAGTCACTCTGCCTTGTTTCCACTGATAGAGATTTGTGGTATGAGCCAGGTTTGGTGATATGAGCCTGTGGTCCCAGCTGAACCAGGCATGGTAATGCATGCCTGTGGTCCCAGCCGCTCCTGAGCCTGGGACAGGAGGATGGTTTGGGCTTAGGAGTTCCCAAGCCAGCCTGGACAACACAGCTAGACTCCATCTCAAAAGAGAAAAATAAAATTAAAAACTGGCTATACCTTTGACTGCTTATGTGAATAAATGTGACTTTAAAACCAAACGAACAACAAAAAAAAAGTTGAAGTTTTCTGTTTGTGGTAACAATTTCTCCTGCCTCTGCACCTGAGAGGCTTGGAACCCCAACTGCTGCTGGTGACTCCAACAGGCCCCTCTCCCACCAGGCCCTTCTCCCACAGGGGAGCATTCTCACTCTCAGGAGTACAAACTTTGCCCTAGAGCTAAATCCTGCCAAAGGTACACTGTGAGTGGTCTCATTGTTGTTTTTGTTGTTGCTGTTTTAAGTGCTTGAGGTGGAACCCAGGGCCAAGTGCAGGCCAGGCAGCTGCTCTACCACAGCCACACGCCAGTCCATCTATTTTTAAGATATACATATTTTTTGGGGGAGAGGTCTTTTTGAGACAGGGTCTCCCTGTCGCCCCAGCTGTCCTGGAACTCACTATGTAGACCAGGCTCGCCTTGAGCTCACAGAGATCCACCTGTTTCTGCCTCCTGACTGCTGGGATTAAAGGCGTCCGACACCACGCCCGGCTTTAAAAATATTTTTTTTAAATATTTTATTTATTATTTTATATATTTTTTAATGTGTATGAGTGTATTGCCTGCATGTAAGTGAGTGCATCCATGTCATGCAATGCCGCGGAGGTCAAAAGAGGGCTTCGGATACCCCTGGAACTGGAGTTAAGGACGGTTGGCAGCCGCCATGTGGGTGCTGGGAGTGGAGCCCAGGTCCTCTGCAAGAGCAGTCAGTGCTCTTAACCGCTAAGCCATCTCTCCAGTTCCAAAAAATATATTTTTAAAGCAAAAGACTGTTTCATTTTTTTTTTTTTTTTGAAGATTTGGAGTGAAGGGACCCAGTGTAGTGGGTTGAGTATGAGGTCGGGGAATCAGAAGTGGGGTCCAAATTCTGGTCTAAGTACAAGAAATGAGGTCTTATACAACTCAACCTCTCTGGTTGCCTGTTTCATTCTCCTAAAATCCAACACAGACATGTGCAGGCTTGTGAGGCTCTTTCTGAGATAACATTAAAGACTTTTCAAGGGGAGCTGGAGAGATGGCGCAGCAGTTAAGAGCAGTGGCTGCTCTTACAGAGGACCCAGGCTTAATTCCCAGCATCCACATGTCAGATAACCGTCTGCAACTCCAGTACCAGGGGATCCAATGCCCTTTTCTGGTCTCCATGGGCATTGCAGAGACAGGTGCACTTACGTACATGCAGGTAAAATACTCATACACATAAAATAAAAATAAATTTAAAAAATTTAAAGACTTTTCAAGGGGTCAGGGGCATGACTCCGTGGTGATTGGTGTGTTTACCAAGCATGAAGCCTTGGCTCCAGTCCCTAGTAACATTAATTTTTTTTTAATCTTCTAAATATATACACTGAGGAGAGACAACTCCCCGTTAAGCCAGGGGTCCTATTTGGGAGTGCAATAGGAGAGGTGAGGAAGGGGAACTTGGTGAACCATTGCTGCGATCTCATCATCTCCCTTCAATGGTATTGTGGGGTTTTCCTAAGCTAGAAAAATACAGGAAATAGCCTCACCATTTGTGTTAGTTATTCCAACGTGAAGATCAGACCGTCCATCGTACTCCCTGAAAGAAACTGGTATTATTTTTACTATACATTAGTTGGATAAGAAATCTCACTGAGTAGTGAGGCTGTCCTGGAACTCACAGTCCTCCTGCCGCAGGGCAGCTGGGATGCAGGCTCACCACCTTGCCAGGTTGTTCTTGCTGCCTATGCCAGGCATGAAGCATGGGTATTTAATTAAACAAAGAGCTTGTGGGCCTCCCCTGGTGGCCTGTACCAGACCTTGCCATCAGCTCCAGGCTGGCTGAGTGAGGAGCACAACTGAGGTGTTACCACCCCAATCCTGGATTTTCTTAGAACTCCAAAGGTCATTCTTTCTAGGGCCTGAATTAAGCATGTCACAGGCTCTTGGGGAGCTCCTGGAGCAGCTTAGGAGTCTCGCTCCCCTCTGTGGGGGTCGGCCCACCATCCTGACAGCTAATGTGGGTGACATGATTCTGAAGGCATCTCCAGGGCCTTCAGCTTTCCAAGCCACCCCCCACTATCCTGAGCAGCCTGCATCTTACAATTACTCTGTTTGAGACACTTTTTTTGCGAGTTGGTTAGTTGGTTTTATCGCTCAAATCCAGGGCCTTATGGATGCTAAACATGTGCTCGATCCCTGACCTACACTCTCAGACTCTTAAAATTATGCTTTTGGTTTGTTTGGTTTTGTTTCGTTAACACAAGGGCCCAGGCTGGCGTTGAACCTGTGAACCTCCTGCCTCAGCCTCCTAAGTGCTGCTGGCATTAAAGGTATATATCAACAACTCAGTCAAAAGGTAACCGTTTTCCCTCTTTTGGTTTTTTTTAAGACAGTGTCTCCCTGTCACCCCAGCTGGCCTGGAACTCACTATGTAGACCAGGCTGGCCTTGAACTCACAGAGATCCACCTGCCTCTGCCTCCCAAGTGCTGGGTTTCAAGGCATGTGCCACCATGCTCAGCTCAAAAGGTAACTTTTTTAACGTTAAATTTTTTGTTAGTATATATTAACTGTACAAAATGGGCTTTTCGCTGACATTTTCATGTGTACATATAATGTACTGTGATTATATTTGAATGCTACCCCAACTCGGTAGATCTTTCTTAAGATAACATAGCCCCGGTGTCAGATCACAGGTCTGGATATTTGGTCCCTCAGTAAAGCAATCCCTGACAATGGCCAAGGACACAGATGGCTGCTCCTCTCAGAGTCAGCCTGGGGGACTCACAACTATTTTGAGCTTCTGAAGACTGTGGGTTGCAAGGTTATAATGAGGATGAATGTGACCTGTTGGCTGCTGCTTTCAGCTCCCCTGGGGCTCTACACCCTTGGTTTCCCAGCTCCATCCTAGCCATCATTCCCTTCCTTTCTCCCTCCCATAAATCCTCAGTCATGTGATGGCCATTCGCTGGGTGCTGACTCTGGGCCTTCTGCATCAGGATGGCTCTGCCCTCACAGAGTGGGCTTGCTTCCAGAAAGGGCAGTTTCATTTCAGTCTGACAAGCTCGTGTTTTCTAATGTGTTGTGATGCTAGAGATTGATGCTCAACAAAATCTTAATAGATTGATGAATATAAAGGGAAAAAATACAAAAACCTGTCAGGGACAGGCTTCCTGCCTCTCCCTTCCCCTGTGGAATCTTGACACAAATTATGAAAAGGGTCTCTTCCTGCAGCTCTGCAACATGTGTCTGGCTTTGTGGAGTACGGGCTGAAACTCAGCACCTGCCACCAATCTGGCCAGGCACACTATGGAGCCCACAACCTGCACAGCCATAAGGGGAGCCCCAAGTGATCCTAACCTAGGTAAGCAGACCCTGGTAGATAGGTCCTTTGGGTCCCTACTGGCGCTCCTTTTTCAAGTAAGTGCATTTGTCTCAGGTTGAGTTTATAGGCTGCAGAGCTGACTTTAAAAATCTGGATGAAAGAGAAGGAAGCAATTTAGAACTTGTCCTTAGAGTCTGGTGGGTCAAGGGCAGTTTTGGAGTTTCTGCAGACCGTGACCTGAGCATGGAGAAGGATGGGGAGATACAAGGTGTATGATCTGTTCCCCCTCTGCCCATGTCAGGAAAGAGAAGTCATTCGATATCTCCACTGGTCAGAGAACAAACAGAGGCTCACTGAGAAAAGGACAGTAGAGTGATAAGAGGGTGGGGGGCAGACCTCTTTTCATCATCAACTCACTTCCTGGATTCCTGAGCACACCAATCAAGAGTGGATTCTGTCATTCAGCCTGGGCTGCATAGCAAACCCAGGGCCAGCATGGGCTACCTGAACAGCAACCATACATTAGAGGATGCTCCTCAAACCAAGAGGAGGTGGTTGGAGATGGGACTTAGGAGTCCCCAGGAGTGAGATCAATAGAAAAGATGGATATTTGGGTAATGAAATACATTTTTCCTTTTTTATTTTATTTAAAGATACTTATATAGGAGCTGGAGAGATGGCTCAGTGGTTAAGAGCACTGACTGCTCTTGTAGAGGACCCAAGATCGAATCCCAGCACCCACATGGCGGCTCGGAACCATCCTTAACTCCAGTTCCAGGGGAATCCAAAGCCCTCTTCTGACCTCTGAGGCACTTCATGACACGGATGCACTCACACACATGCAGGCAATGCACTCATACACATTAAAAAAAAATAATGATAAATAAAATATTGTTTAAAAGATACTCATATAAAGCAGAAAGAAGAATTCATTGTTTATATGTGAATTTTCCTAATTACTCTTTTTAGAGTTTCCATATTGATGTTAAAAAATTAAATTTTCACTCCAGAAAAAAATTACTAATTTTTAATCATAGTAAGTCTACATATTGAATATTGAAATATGCACAGGGGAGTCCCATACATTGGCTCATTGGCTAGGATTATAGAATCCTAGCTCCCAGAAGCCTGAAGTAGGAGGATCATACATTTAAGACCAGGTTGATCAAAATAGCAAGTTCCAGGCCAGTCTGTGCTGCATAGCAAAAATAAAATAAAATAACGGATGTAGCTCTGTGTTAAGAGCTTGCCCTTCCCAGCATGTAGCTTGCATGAGATCTTGGGTCCAACCCCTAGTACCAGATAAAGGAGAAGACAAAACAAAACAACAAAAAACCTTAGACCTAGTTGTCAATTTAATTTGCCTCCATATAAAACAGTCCCTAAAGAGCTACTCTTCAGGTCTCTACCTGCCTGTCACACAAGCTACAAACTCTCAGTAACAGTATTTCTTCAGTAACAGCTGCTGTGTCATTTCCTACTCTCTCAGCACATGTATGTATCTCCTAAAATCAGCTGAGTGGATTTCCTCTTCACACACCATGCATATGCTCTTACACTCACCACACGGATATGTGCATACTCTCCCTGACTCTTGTTTGTGCTGAGGATGAAACCCAGGGCCTCACACTGGCAAGCAAGCCTATACGCCCCAGCCCCACATCATCTGTTCCGATGAACAAGCAAGCATACAGATGAAGGACAAGTCTACCCACAACACCTCACACTGCAGAGCACATGTGGTTCAAAGACAGTTTAGTACCTGACACAGGAGGAAACACATACACAGTTCAGCATGACACGAACCTGTGACACAAGCCCACTGTACCTTAGAAACGTCCCTCGCGTGGGTTTGAGAAGGAAGGAGCATTTTTCTTGATGCCCATTGCAGAATGGGTTTGAGATACTGACAGGTGCATCCTCCAGCCTGGCCGAGCCCACCTCACCCTGGCAGAGGGGGCAGCATCGGGGCACACTGAAGCTGTAGATGGACTTCCTACAGTGGGTGAATTTAATCAGAGGCTTCCCAGTCTCTGTAAAGTGCATAATGTTCACCTCCTGGGTTGCCAGAACAGGTTTCTGGAGACTTCCTTTTCCTCATCACGCAGCTGGCAAATGTACACTGCCCCAGTAATCTGATAAACAGTGATGTCATGGTGGATAGAGGCTTCAGCAGCCAAGGCAGGTAGATTAACCAGTAACCAAGCTGCACCCGTGGCTGAGCTCTTAAAGAGCTAGTTTTCATTTGTGTTAGCTTACCAAGTTTCTTTGTAGGCACTGTACTTTGGAGCTGGTGACAGCCAGCTCCTATTCATCCTTTAAAGCCCTACTTTTCTATGCCTCCTGTCTTACCTTCCTCCAACCTTTCTCGCATTACCTTTCTCACATGTTTTTGTGCTGGTTAGTTTTTGTCAACTAGACACAAACTAGAGCCACCTGGGAAGAGGGAACTTCAAGTGAAGAATTTCCCAGATCAGATTGACCTGTGGGTATGTCTTCCAGACATTTTCTTGATTGTTAATTGATATGAGAGGGCCACTTGGGCAGTGACATCCCGAGGTAGGTGAGTTTGGGCAGTATAAGAAAGGTAGCCAAGCAAGCCAGGGGTGCTAGTAAGCAGTGTTCCTCCATGGTCTCTGCTTAAGTTCTGCCTCCAGGTTTCTGCCTTGAGATCCTGCCCTTACTTCCCTCCGTGAGGGACTATGACATGAAGTATAAGATAACCCTTTCCTCCACAAGTTGCTTTTGATCAGCATTTTATCACAGCAACAGAAAGCAAACTAGATGCCCCTCTTTCCCATAAACAGTTGTCTCCCCTTTTCATGCACATCCATCACACCACAGCAAGAAAGCAGTGTACATGAAAAAAGAGAAAATCTATTAAAAACCCATCACCCAGGGAAAGTGGCTCCTGCTCGTGCACAGCTGAGAGCCAAGTAGTTCAAGGCAGCTTCAGAGTTTAGAAGAACAGTCACCTGCAGGGTTCCATCAAGGTGAGTACTTGCTCCCTAGTCAGTCTGAGTACTTGATACAGTTCAATTCAGTTTTGTTTTGTTTCCTTAGCATTTAGAATATCCTGTGGCATACAGAGTTATGAGATCCAGGAAAAATGAGGGAGGGACCATGGAGGCAACATGAGAGCCACATATAGCATCCATAGGCAACTGATGTCTGGAGGAGGAAGAGGGTTCATTTCAGAGCCAGCCATCCTCTTTAGCAGTGTGTATCAAGGACTTACAAGATTGGCAGGGTCAGACTATATTGAGATGTATTGGCTACAAACTTACCCTTGTCTGGCTGTCACAGGCAGGGTGGGTGCCTGCACAGCAGCTGCTGCTCAAGGGAAAGTCCTGCAGATGAACCCCAGCCCAATACACGCCCCCTTTGGGAGAGGCTAAGACACACCCAAGGAGGGGAGAGTTATCTTTAAAGAAGAAGTTAAGCAGGATGTTACCTATGCCTTGAGTCCACTGTTCAAAGCCCTCTCCTTTTCAACTTTGAAGTTTGACACCTTTCTATACTCTCATTCTGCAGTTTCAGGACACGGTTCCTTCGCTGAAGCTCTGTGATGGGTGCATCCTTGAGTAAACCCATCAGGAGTGGCTGCAGTCTAAGTCATCCTGCCTCTGGTTCTTTGCCATTTTCTCTAGGATGTTCACGTTTTATTTTCCAGTGCTGTCATTTTCAGGTTTCTTGTGGCTCTTCCTCTTCCATTGCACCGTGATCTAGAATCTTCTGTGTCCTCAGGCACCTCATCTTTGTTTTCTGAAGACATAACTGCCTATGCATCCTGCTCGGCTGGCAGAGGGTGGGTCTAGCTTCTCCATGTTGAAGGCCGAGAGAAGTTGTAGAGTTTGCACAGGACAAACATCTTCAAATGTCTGAGGAACACAATGTTTCTTTTCCTTAAGGTCACCAGCCAAGTGGAGGTCAGCTTCCCTGACCACAGGGAAGACTATGACTCCTCTGACACTTTTCAGACCTCACAGGACTAGGTGAGGTTGGTATGGGGACAGCACACTTTGTTCCAGTAATGGAAGAAGACCATCAATATATAAACTATTAACTGAGCTGTTGGAAGGAGATGGACTCAGGTTGAGCCATTCAGACACTGAACAGCTCATTCAGACACTTTTCTAAAGAACTCTCTAGTCAATTATTCATATTTAAGTTTGTTTTCTTCAGTTTGGGGACTGATCTTTTTTTTTTTTTTCAGGAAAAAAGAACATAAAATTTAATACTTTTAGGCTGGAAGTCGGGGAGGCAGGTAGCTCTCATAGCTGAGGCCCTTGTCTATCCCTAGCACTGAAACAAAGAAAAACAAATATTTTTAACTTCATATAAGGGGACTGATTTAATGTCTTAATAAACATCTAATGTACCAGCTTTTTCTTTGTTTTAAAAAATTATTTATGGGGCTAAAGAGATGGCTCAGCAGTTAAGAGCTCTGGCTGCTCTTGCAGAGGACCCAGGTTTGAATCCCGATGCCCTCTTCTGACCTCTGAGGGCATGGCACAGCATGAGAGGAGTGCACTTACATACATGTAGGCAATACACTCATATACATAAAATAAAAATAAGTAATTAAATAATTAAATTAATAACTAATAATTGTTAAATAATAAATGATTAAAATAAAAATATTGTATTAATTTTATTTTTGTGTATGAGTGTATTGCCTACATTATGTAAGTGCACTCCCATCATGCAATGCCTGTGAAGGTCAGAAGAGGGGTCAGATCCCCTGTATCTGAATTTAAGGACGATTGTTAGCCGCCATGTGGGTGCTGGGAACTGAACCTGGGCCCTCTGCAAGAGCAATCAGTGCTCTTAAACCCTGAGCCATCTCTCCAGACCCATACTTTTCATTTTTAATATGTTATTTATTCTTTTATTTTATGTGTGTGTTTTGCCTGCATGTATGTAAGGGCACCATGTGCATGAAGTGCCTTTGGAGGCCAGAAGAGGGTACTGGATCCCCTGGAACTGGAGTTGAACAATTGTTATCTGCCATGTGGGTGCTGAGACTCAAACTTAGGTTCTTTGCAAAAACAACTGGTGCTTTTAACCTCTGAGCCATCTCTCCAGCCCAAATTAAACAAATTTTAAAAAGTTTGTTTTCTTAGTGATTGGCCTGAGGATCCCAGTGAACACATTTATAATAATTTAGGTCAGGTTAGTTATCAACTTACACTCAATAGCATAAAAAGTTTAGCTCCTATATGGTTCCATCACTCCTCTATTCTTTCTTTGTTATACAAATCATGTTTGTACAATGTGCAACTACCAATCTAGACTTATAGTTTCTCTTTCTCTCTGTCTCTCTCTTTCTCCCCCCACCTCCCCAGGCCCACAGGCTGGCCTTGAAGTAATGACCCTCCTGTTTCTATTTCCTTAATGTCTGCTGATATGAATGTGCCACAGTGTTCCATTTGGGGTTTTGGTATGTTTTGTTTTTGGTTTCTTTTTAATACTTTACCAGTGTGTGTAATTAAACCTACATAGATAAAACCTTACATACCTAATACAGTATATCACACTGATACAGATGGGAAAAATAGCTTTAATGTTTCCAGACCAATATGGCTTTAATTCCTGTACAATGCCAACTCAACACTGTAAACTGGAATACTTTTTTCCAAAGTTGATGACACAGTGACGTTTCCGAAAAGTCAAATTATATGTATGTACTTATTATACATGCATATGTATATATTTACATAAAAAGACCAATAGGGAGGGGGAACTTGGGTTGGATATGATCAAGATATAGGTGTGAAGTTGTGAAAGAATGCATTTAAACATTTCTAAAAGAAAAAGAAAGCTGGGCGTGGTGGCAAAATCCTTGCACACTTTAATCCCAGCACTTGGGAGGCAGAGGCAGGCAGATCTCTGTGAGTTCAAGGTCAGCCTGGTCTACATAGTGAGTTCCAGGCCAGCTGGGGCTACAGGGAGATCCTGTTTCAAAAAAAACAAAAAAGAATTTTTTTTCTAAAAGAAAGACAAGTAAATGCAGAACTTTAAGCAGCAGCAACATTGTCCAGGTTCTGCAGTATTCTGATCAAAATTATGAGACATGCAAAAACAACTACTTCAGGGTGTTTTTTGTTTACATTTATTTAGTGGGGGAAGATGATAGCATGCGTGAGGTCAGAGAACAAGCATCCAGGGAGTCGTTCTCTCCTTCTACCTTGAGGTTGAGGATCAAACTCAGGTCATCATGTTTGGCAGCAAGCTCCCTGAGCCATCTTGCCAGCCCCAGCTTCAGTTTCTTTAATGTAAGGAAGAAATACTTTATTTTTTATTTTTATTATTTTAACATTTTATTTTTATTTTATGTGTATGAATGTATTGCCTGCATGTGTGTAAGTGCACCCATGTCGTGCAATGCCTGGGGAGGTTCAGAAAAAGGCAACAGATCCCCTGGAACTGGAGTTAGGGACAGTTGTTAGTTGCCATATGAGTGCTAGGAACTGAACCCAGGTCCTCTGCAAGAGTAATCAGTACTCTTAACCGCTAAGCCATCTCTCCAGCCCCCTAGGAAGTATTTTAAAACTTCTAAAACAAACAAAAAAAATCAACAAATGATTAAAAGTGAATGATATATCTTGTACATGTTTTAAAAATAGATTTTGTGGATTGGAGAGATGGCTCAGCTGTTAAGAGCACTGGTTGCTCTTACAGAAGGCTGGGGTTGGAATCCCAGCACCCACACAGCTGCCAACAACTGTTTGTAACTCCAGTTCCGGAGGATCTGACGCCCTCTTCTGTCCTCCACGTGCATTGCACGACATGGGTGCACTTACACACATGCAGGCGATACATTCATACACATAAAAATAACAAGTAAACTATTTTAAAAATAGATTTTGTGTGGAGACTAGAGGACTGCAGAGGAAGCAGGCAAATCAGTTGAGAGGCTATTGGTTGGGTGTAGGAAAGAAGTGGTGGTTGCTTAGCGTGGACCGTGGCCGTGGAAGTGAAGATGCACAGGGAAGTGGGAGCGGGATCTGCAGATAGCGGGGGAAGAGGGAAGTGTGGGGTTGTTAGGCAATGCAGAGGAACGCGGGGCGGGGGGAGATGCAGGGGGGCAGGGAAAAAAGGCGGGGACTGCATTTAGGGCAAAAACTTGGGATGAGAGTAGAGGTTTTGAAAAAGAGCCCTAGGAGAGGGATTTCCTCAAGAGGCAGGCCAAGGTCTGCGGGGACAGTGGGGAGCCTGAGGGGCGGTCCAGGGAGCTGGCTTTTGGCTGAGTAGGAGAATTCGGATCACAGCTCTCATAGAACAGAGGAAGGCCCAGGAGGGATGAGTTGACCCCAGGGAGCAAGAAGTCACTAAAGAATATTGGGGGAAGGAGGTTTCCTGGAAAGATGGTTCAGTGGTTGAGAGTACTTGATGCTCTTGCAGAGGACCCAATGCCCACATGACAGCTCACAACTGTATAACTCCAGTTCCAGGGGTTCCCACGCCCTCTCTGGCCTCCAGGATACCGAATCCATATGATACATGTACATGCATGCACTCAAACAAAATAAAAATAAACATTTTAATAAAAAGAAGGTTTTTGGAGATGGAAACTGAATCCTAGGACTTAACAGCCCTGGTATAAGATCGGCAAGTCCAGGATGCCAGACACACTCCACCCGGGAGTCTTGGAAACGTGGGACACAGAGCACTGAGAGACCGGACCATCCAGACCCGGCGGGAAAGAACCAATTATGACCTCCACTGTTTCCCGCCGACGCTATAAAGGTGACGCACCGAGGGGCGGTGCGCCGGCGTGACGCAACTGGGCGCGCGGGGCGGGGCCGGGCTGGGCCGAGGTGGCTGGTGGCGGTGAGGCGTTTCAGCGCAATCCGGCCCCGCAGTTCCGCAGCCTCGCCCCCTCGCCGCCATGAGCACTAAACAGGTCACCTGTAGGTGAGTGCACCGCGTTGCGGGGCCGGGAGCGCCAGGCGACTTCCGGCCGCTACCCCTGGGCGGCCGGTGTATTCCGGCCCTGCAGATGGGGAAACTGAGGCGGGAGCGGAGCTCGCGGGAAGTTACGCAGCTGTTGGTTCGGGGCTGTAGGAGGGAGCGACTGCGGGCCCTGGGCGCCCACAGCAGCTAGAAGGATGCGAGGGCCTAGTTGCCGGTCGTCTTCACGCGGTTAACAGCGCAGGAGTGCGAAGGCCGCGGAGACAAGAGCTGCTGCCTCCAGTTGCAGAGCGTGAGCAAGGGGAATCGTGGAAAAAGAGCATTCCTGCAAGTTAAGGCCGCGCATATTTCAAAGTTTTTAATACTCGTTGTCAGTCGCTCCCTTCCCTATAACGCTACTAAGCAGGTAGACCCATTTTACCATGCCTGAAACCGACATCAAAAGAGGTTAAGAGATTCCTTGCTGAGAGGTCCGTTTAGGAGCAGAAAGAGAACATTAATGGATGGCTTTTTACAGAAAGTGGAAAACAAAGCGACTCTGTGACTGCTACTTGGAAATAAAAATCGTTGGGTTGTGTGACATCATACCTTGGTAAACTGTGGCTTAGTACTGAGGTTTAGTCCAATTGATTTGTATGCTTGGGAAATACAGGTTGAACATCCCCATGTGGAAATCCAAAAATTGAAAACTTTCTGAGCGCCGATATGGTGCTACAAGTGGAAAATAACACACCATGAAATTTTGTTTTATGTGTAAAATTATTGGATATATTGTTCAGGGTCTGTGTAGAAGGTGTATATTTAACAGTGAGTTTTATGTTTAGACTTGTGTCCCATCCCCAAGATACATGCAGATAGTCCAAACTCTGAAAAATTCAAAAACACATCTGGTCCTAAGTTTTTTTTGGATATAGGATACTCAGCTTGTACTATTTGTTTTTTTTTTGTTTTTTTTTTTGGTCTTACTGAAACAGGATCTCCCTGTTGCCCCAGCAGCTAGCCTAGAACTCACAAAGATCTTCCTGCCTCTGCCTCCACTCCCGGTTGCTTGTACAGATTTTTAAGAATTAATAAATTTTGCTGGGCAGAGGCAAGTGGATCTCTGAGCTCAAGACCAGCCTGGTCTGCATAGTGAGTTCCAGGCCAGCTGCTGGGGCTACAGGGAGAGACTGTCTCAAATAAGTGCACCATGTGTCATGCAGTGCCCACCGAGGCCAGAAGAGGGCATTGGATCCCCTGGAACTGGAGTTCCAGACTGTTGTTAGTTGCCATATGGGTGCTGAGAACCAAACCTGGATCCTCTGCAAGAGCAGCCAATCCTCTTACCTACTGGGCCATCTTTCCAGCTGGTCTATACAAATTTTAATTGGTTTCAGTAAAAACCTGTGTAGGAAGCATTTCTAAGAAACTGATATCGTTTGGTTATATGATAAAAACATTTCCGTTAATTACCTTGTTGCTTTTTATTGGTGCCAATATTTAATATGAAGAGTTCCATTAGTGTTAGATATTAAGGGTTGAATGGGTAGGCCCAGGTGACTTATGTTAAGCAGTTGTCATAAATTTGTGGTTCATGTCTAGAAGATACTTCTAGGTTATTTGTACTAGGTCTTATGTGAAGATGTGCGAATTCTGTGAATTCACTCATTTTCCTTCATATGAACTTCTGTTGGAGGAAGTGATCCTGTCATTGTGTCCTGTAAGCAGATTCCAGCTACCTGGAAAAGCCTGCTCCTCCTCCTCTGTAGTTTAATCTACCATTTCCATATGTGTTCCTAAGATACATATCTAAAAGCATTAGTGCAATGCTTTGTAACTGAATCTCAACAGATTTACAGATGGGGAAACTATGCTTATACTTCTTGTTACAGAAACAAAAACTTAAGTTGAAGTCACCTTTTTAATTTTTCCCTCCCCTGGTCTTTTTGAAACAAGTCCTCTTTGTAGCCCCAGCTGGCCTGCAACTCCTTGTAGACTAGCCTGGCCTCGAACTCACAGAGATCCACCTGCCTCTACCTCCCAGTGCTGGGGTTAAAAGCGTGTGCCACCACAGCCAGCTAAGTTGGGAGTCATCCTGAAATTTTTTTTCTCTTTTGTACCTGGAAATAGCCTGACCCAAAAGCTTTTGCTCTGTTTCTCAAAGTTAGAGTCTCAAAGGATGTTGCTACTAAGAGTTGAAAAGCTGGGGAGGGAGCATTTGCTTTCATCTTCAATAAATTGTAAACTTATGAAATAATTATTTTAAAATAATTTCTTTATGATTTTCAGGAAATATTTTGTGTACCTATTTTATATATACTTACATACTTGGGGTCATGTAAATTTTTCTCAGGTAAAAGGGAACATGAATGGAAAAGGTTTAACAAGCCCCATCTAGGTAGACCAGGTGCTCAGCTGATTCATTGTTCTGTTGTTTTAGTTTTCTTTGTTGTGGAATTTTCTGAGGTGGTTTTCACTGTATGGTGTGAAATACTTGCTTATTCTGAGGGCAGCAGAGAACAGGACCTATTTACCCCTATCCTAGGATCCTACTAGCATTATGTGTTTCCAGTGTTGTCAAGTGCTGGGATGCTGAGATGCCATGTGCGTGTTGCTGAAGTGCAGGAATAGCTGTTGCTGGGGCTGGGGAAATGCTCAGCTGACAAAGTGCTTCCTCTTCAGGCATGAGGACCCGGTTCTGATCCCTAGCACCCACATAAAAGCCAGATGCAGTGTTTTGAGTCTGTAGCACCAGAGCTTGGGAATGGAAACAGACGGATCCTGAAACTCATTGGCTAGCGAGTCCAGCTGAATCAGGGAACTCTGGACTCAGTAGAGACCCCTGTCTTGAAAAATAAGGTGGCTCACCTGGTGAGATGGCAACCTGAAGTTTGATACCTGGAACCCACATGGTAGAAGGAGAGAGCTGACTCCTGAAAGTGTCCTCTGACCTCCGTGTGTGCACCATGACGTGTGCGTACACACACGCACGCACATACATATACAAATAAAATTTATATTACTCTTTAAAAAGATGGAGAGTGATCAAAGAAGACACCTGATGTCGATCTCTGCCCCCCCCCCCCAACTTGTGCCTGTACCACACACACATACAAATAGCTGCTCCTGTGGGTGTGCTGTCAGTTCTGGTTCCTCTACATGCTGTTCTATCTAGAATCTCAGCAGATTATTTGGAAGTGAGTTGCAAAAGCAGTTTTGCTAAAGTGAGGCGCCATTGGTGGTCTGCGGGAAACCAGACTGATTCTGTTTGGCTCAGCCTCAGCTTCATGGGCAGCTGCAGCAGGTTGTGTTCCATCTTTAGATTGTGTAGTAGCTATTTTCTGTACTTCTTTGAAGTGTCCCCCAACCAGAACCTCCCAGTTCTGAGGTTTGAGCCCTTTTGTGTCATTGCCCATCTCCTTCAGTCATGCCCAGTGATTGGAAAGCATCATACTAGAGGGTAAGTTTCTGTAACACAGATGAAATTGACTGGCTACATGGGTGGCGAGCACCCCAGAAGACAGGTGGGATGTGCTTCAGCTGTGTCTGTTGCAGGGGAACAGAGTGGGTGAGGTACAGTTCAGAAATGGGACTGAGCTGGCTTCACCTCATGTAAGTCAAGTGTTTCACAGTTGACTTTCCTGAAAAGCAGTGATGGTCTTTTGAGCCTGTTGGAATCAGTCACAGTGAGGTAGGGTACATGGAGTCACAGCTTAAATAAGGCCAGATTAGCTGGCAGCTGTGGTTGATGTTAATAGAAAGGCGTACAGTCTGGAGGCTGGTTTTCCAAGCCGGCCCAGGGAAGGCAGCACTGAAATTGTAAAGTGCTTCCTCATGAACCACTGCACCTTAGTGTGTCTGCTGTTGCCTGTCTAACAAAGGACCTCTGTAGTCTTCTGCCCTGGTTCTTTCAGGAAATCTTCTGGTCCTTTTCTAGAAAACTCTGAGATACTTCATAGCTCTCCACTATATAGAATTGTTTATGTAGCCACTTTGACCTGGTTCTTTCCCAGTGTTTGTGAGTTTACCAGTCTGATACATCTTCGTTGCACAGACTGGGCTGTTGGCACAGGGTTGGTGTTTCGTACCAGAAAAGATCCAATTTAAGGATGATCTTTTCCTCCTGAAGAGGCACATGCACTCTTTGCCACCAGAGCTGCCAATCAGAGGTACAGTAGGGGGTGGTGCAGAGTAGAGGGTGATCACCAGGCAAAGGTGCGGGACCTGGTGGGTGCAGCCTCTGTTGGTGTGACACAGTTCTAGAGTCCCAGGAAGAAGCAGGTGTTCTGCATTAACTACAATTTCACAGTTAAGGTACAGCAAGCTGCTTTCATCATTTAGAGAAACCTTACATCAGTATAGGGACTCTGAGGATACCAGCAGTTTCTAGAAACTAGACAAAGGCTGTCCTTAAGCCAGCCAAAGGATGGCAGTCTCAGACCTGCTGAGACCCCTTTCTCTGTAAATACCTGCCCCCTACACCCCACTCCTCCCCACTGAAGATGGAACCCAGGGCCTCCAGAATGCCAGGCAAGCTGCCACTGAGCTGAGCTTCATCCTCAGCCCTCTTTCTTTTTATTCCTTTGCTCCTTTTGTTTTTTCTTTTTGAGACAGGGTCTCCCTGTAGCCCCAGCTGTCCTGGAACTCACTACGTAGACCAGGCTGGCCTTGAACTCAACAAAGATCTGCCTGCCTCTGCCTCCCAAGTGCTGGGATCAAAGGCCACGCCTGGCTTCCTTTGCTACTTTTATAGCAAGTTATTGAACAGTATCTAATATTGTGGTGGGTTCTACAGGGAGTGCTTCCTGGGGAAAGCCTCGCCGGCTTCCTAGAAAACTCCAAAGCCATGGCAGTGATTCAACTCTTGATCTTTGCAGTCTCTGATTTTCATTCTAGTGGTAGATTTTGTTGCCCTTTTATCGGTTTCTTGGGGAAAAAGAAGCTGTCGGGTGAACCTGGCCAATGCTCATTCACAGAGTTGGCAGGGGAAGAAACAGACTTGCTCTAAACTTTAGCAGGAGGTG